GTATTGTGGTAACAACAAATAGATGAGAAGAATAGCAACTGTACTGTTTGCCACAGCCCGTGACAGAAGCACGAGAAAAACACTCATAATATGACGACGACGGGAATCGGACCCCGGAGGCGGACAATTCGGAATAACAGACTCCGTTTCCTCGGGGTGGTTGTCATCGTTGTAGGGGCATTGGGGCCCTTCTTTGCCCGGCCGGTGTTACAGCCGGTTCGGGCGTTTTCCTCGTCGTCGTCATCGCCGTCATCGATCACTTCACGAACAGACAGCAACGGATTCGGTGGTGCCATCAACGCCGGCAATGACATCGACAACGCAAAGCCAACGATCCGCGTCGTTCCCATGGCGGTTTCCGCGCCCGATCACGATTCGAGCGGCAGCAACGACGGCGGCGACCCGCCCGTCCTCACCAAGGACGTGGCCGGGCTGGCCGATCTTCGGTACGACGAGTGGATGTCGTCGTCTATGCGGCCGCCACCGAGCCGGTACGCCTTTCGCATGGCCACGGCCGAAATCGCCGCGGAGCGAGCGGAAGCCGGGGCCGTGACGTTTTTGGCCAGGCAGCACACGCGAGCGCGAGAGAGCGGCGGCGCGATTGTTGGTGCCGCCGAGCTCAGCCCCATCGAGTTCGAGGGAACGCAACCGTGCCGAGGGGAAGCGGACCCGCGGCCCAACGATCAAAACCACGTTTCGCTGTACGTCACAGACGTGGTCACGTCCTCCAAACACAGGAGAATGGGGATTGCCAACCGATTGATGGATGCCCTCGAACATTATGCCTACGAAACATTTGCTTCTGGCAAAGGGAAAGAAAGCGAGAACGAGAACGACACCAGCGTCGTGACCCTGTACCTCCACGTCAAGCCCGATAACCCCTCGGCGCGGTCCTTTTACGCCAACCCGGAACGGGGATACGGGGAGCCTCCCTCGACCCTTCCGTTCGACACGGCCCTGCTCGAGGACAACGCCGGAATCGAAACGGGGAAGCAGATCCTTTTGTGCAAGACCCTCACGAGGGCCACCCACCGGGAAGCGGCCGTGCGGCTGGAAAGGCAGCTCGCATCTTCTCCACGTGGCAACGGTKCCGAAACCACAACGACGACGAGCGCCCAGGGGTTCGGAGGCGGGTTTGGAGGCAGCAACCACAAAGCCAAAAAGAAACCCAAGCGCAAAAAGAGATGAGCTCGGGGGATTCGTTCGGGACGATCGATGGTGGCAACGGTCCTTTCAACCACTTGCGACGGACATGCTTAGGGAATTATTTCACTCATTCTGGGGCGACCCAGAAGCATTTGTCACCACAGGTTCATTTCTAAGAAWTACACAACGGGTAATACCACCCTGAGTTTCGACTTTGTATCCCTGTAACACCAATCGCAATCAATGTCTGTTAGACGAAAACCGTGGATGCTTCGGTTGGACCGGGATGAAATGGCTCCGGGGTTGGAAGCCCAAGCACCCAAGATACCGAATAGATTCTGGCTCAACCCGTCGCAACAATTGCTTTCTTTCGTGAAAAGAAGGTCTATTTTTATGATGTAATCCTGCCTATTGCTTGATACATCGCTATTTTACTGTAGTATGATTTTCTTACACGTACGAAGTACAGTACGAAAGATTGCATGGATTGCCATACTTACTGCTCCTATCACTACGTAAGTACTTGCGGGTACGAGTACGAAGTACGACTTCTTTCTTCCAGAACACATTTTTTTCAGTCGTGTGCATGTTCACTTTGAAGATTTGAAGATGCAGTACCGGCCGGTACGATCACAGAAACTGGCACGCTTGAGTTCTACTACGAGTATCGTAGGTACTAAAACAACTACTGCACAGTACGTACCCGTACTTCTAGTAGAATACGATACTACACAGAATTAGAAACAGAATTACCGTACTGTACAAAGATGGTCGACCGTGCGTACCAACGTATCGTTTCTCCGTACTGTACAGTACGACTCCCAATTCACCAACGGGTGAGATCTTCCATGATGCTAGAAATTGTTCTGGTAGGAAAGGATAGTGATAAGATACAACAATTGATTGTCTGTACCTGAACAACAAACATCTCCACAAAAGTGTTCGGAGAACGAGGTTCAACTCAGCACAATACAGCACAACTCAAAGTAAGGGGAGAAAGAAGGAAGAAAGCAATCGCGCTGTTTTGCATAAGATTGCTCTGTGAATAATGTTGTATTCCGCTGTACGAATGAACAAGCCAAACTTTTTATTGACCTGTAAATCATTCACCGTATCTTTCCTGCAGCAAGGTCGTACAGTCGGTTCTTCTTCGGCCTCGGCAAAAGCAAAACGAGACTTGTCGTCGATTCTACCTCGGTCGGTCCCAAAAGCGACAGCCACTATCAAAAATAGAATCCTGTTCACAAACCGAAACAATAAGAACATTGTGAAGAGAACCATGAGCAGCAGCGGCGGCGGCGATTTTCGGGCATGGAGGGTTGAAGAAACCGAAGATGGAGGGTTTGTTGGCAGCGAGCAGATTCTAAGCCATTGCGCCGACGATATCGACGAAAACAAAGGAAAGCGTGTTTTGATCAAGGTGACCCATTCGTCGCTGAACTACAAGGACGCACTCAGTGCTTCCGGGAACAAGGGAGTAACCCGCAAGTTTCCTCACACGCCCGGGATAGATGCGGCCGGGACCATTGTTGGAGACCCCAACAGCAACTACAACGCTTCCGCATTGGTGACCGGCTACGTACGTACAACTACAGCGAGCTTATATGAAAGGAAACGGAACTGACGCTCTGTACTATGTTTATCTCTTTCAGAGAAACAGAGTTGTATGGACAATAACGGGAAAACTAGCGGAATCATACGGAAGTTCTGACAGTATCACTGGAAAAACTCATCACATTGTTTTTGTTTTGTTGGGCTTTGATCTGTGCTCATAATATTGATGCCCTCTCTATTGGGTTACGTGTGTACCATCTCTGAATCATCTCCTGCGATTTACATTGCTTGGATTCGTTCGTTGCCCGCTACGCATATTTACTTATGCTACTTTGTTCTTCGTTGATCGACTCGATCAGGACCTTGGCATGAACACTGATGGAGGATTTGGTGAGTTCATTCGAGTACCTCCTGAGTGGATCGTGACACCAAATCCCTTTGCCTCGGGCGACGAAACCGACCACGAGGCAGCTGCGAAGACATCTATGGTGTACGGGACGGCCGGGCTGACGGCCGGCCTCAGTGTCCAAAAACTGCTGGCGACCGGAAAGGCCGATCCCTCGGACGGAAAGGTGCTGGTGACGGGGGCGACTGGGGGGGTCGGATCGATCGCCGTCGAGATCCTGGCCAAGATTGGTTTCGACGTTGTTGCACTCACCGGGAAGAGGGAAGAAACTGACAAGTTGATGGAACTGGGGGCGAGCGAAGTGGTGGTGAGTGGTGCGAAATAAACGAGAATTACAATACGATACGACCCAATCTGGTGCAATGCAATTGGTATTCAGAGATCCTTTATGTAGTAGTTCACTTCTACATACAGTTTSGCAGTTGGCGTCTATTGACACATTTTGTTGCTGTTCTCTTCTCTCTTTTCATCGAAATCTGGCACTTCATTTTCCGTTTCGAACGAAATCGAATTTTCTCTTCACGAACTACTCATGCAATAAACAACTCACGAATCGCAGGGTCGAGAGGCTCTTGAACCGACCAAAAAACCCATGCTCCGACCGCTATACGCCCACGCTATCGACACGGTCGGTGGGAGCCCGCTGGCCGAAATTCTCAAGCAAATCAAGCACGGTGGGAGTGTCACAGCGTGTGGCAACGTCGCCGGGATGGCGTTGGAAACCAATGTCTTGCCCTTCATTCTGAGGGGCGTCCAGCTTCTTGGCGTCGATTCGGTCGAGATTTCTCTCGAGGAAAAACAGAGTGTCTGGGAAAAGCTCTCCGGCGAATGGAGGTGTTTCAAGTCCGAAGCCTTCGCGAAGGAGATCGGACGAGACGGGTTGGATGAGTCATTGAAATGCATGCTTGAAGGAAATGCGTCTGGAAAGGTTGTTCTGGTCCACCGATTGACAGCCGATAGCAGCACAAGCCACAGCAAGCTGTAAAACATGCATGCGTTGAAGGACACTTTTTGTACGATAAGATACGTAAGACGGTGATAAGAAAGGTGCCAAAGCAGACGCCATTCAAACGCGAAACCTTGAATTGGATTGTTCATTTCGTTTGATTCAATACTTCGTATGTTTAAATAGATATTCTGATAATTTTGAATGTCGATACAGAAAGGAACTGCATGCATACTGCTGTGTTTCATTTACTACATTTCATTCTAAAACACGGCGTGGCATTTATGTGGATCGCCTCGTTATGGGATCGTAGTCAGGAATAGCATTGGTTTGGTGGATGGCTCACCTTGTAGCAACGTCCTTCATACTTCATGGCTTAGTTGCAATATTGGTCAAATTTAGACCTAAAAAAGACACCGCGAAACACTGCAGAACGAACTCATTGTATTGTCGCCGTTTATGGATTAGTAATCTCCATCTTCTTCACCATCTGCAACGCCAAACATATTCCCTCCCGTATAGCAGTCTCCGCATTCGTCAATGTCTTCGGCATCGTTGCGCTCAGATTGGATGTCGCGCTGGACCTTTGCGTCTCGGTGCCGCCGGTACCACGAAAGCGCTTCGTCTCCGACCGAATGGTTTTCCCTGGTGTGCTTTTGCCTACAGAGTTCCAGGCTCTCTTCCAAATCGGAAAGGCTCTTGTCCGCAATTATCTTTTGTCGGAATTCCGTATCTTCCTGCAGATCCTTGTGAAGGAAGCGATGGACGTGAATGCGGATGCACTTGAGCCCGCTGCCCTGCCCCCCCTTATTGGGTGGATACTTTTTGGCCAGATCCATATACTCCTCCGCCAGCTGGAGGCGGCCAATGGTTCTTTGCGACGGCGGCGACTGGGGAGTCTTGTAGAATATAGGGGGGAACTCGAGGAGCGACTCGCTCGACATAACGCCGTCGCAATTGGTCGTTCGGAGACATTCTTCGACGTCCGAATAGTGCTCAATGCTTCCGTTGGCAAAAATAGGGATTCGGTCCCCGTAGAGTTCCACCGCCTTGCGTATGGTCTCCCAATCGGCAACACCCGTCATATCCTGTTTTTGTTTTCGAGTCCTGCCATGTATGGTCAGGAGGTGTACCCCCGCGTCCACAAGCTTTCCGTASAGCGCAAGCGAGGCAGCAGGCGTGTCAAAACCCTTATAAGACGGGTCGTTTAGTTTATGGGGGTTGGTTTCGGGATCGGGCAGTAACCGTACCTTGACTGAAAGCGGCACTGTCAGGTTGGCCACAAGGTGCTTTACCAGCTTCAACAGCTTGTCTTCTTGTTCCAACAAAAAAGCGCCGTAATCCCCACGTCGGGCTATCCCCTGGGGACACCCACAATTGATGTCGATTCCGTCGACGTACGGCTCGACCAACCGTGCAGCCTTCAGGAAATCGTCGGGATCGCTCCCACAGATCTGGGCAATGAGCGGTCGGTCGGCGGTTTCGAGCCACGTGCCAGTGAACTTTTCCCGGTAGGTCTTGGAATCCACAACAAGGCGGGAATGGATCATGGGTGTATAGCATAAATTGGCACCATACCTCCGACAGAGCAACCGAAAGGGGAGGTCCGAGGCATCAACCATCGGAGCGACCACGAGGGCCTTGTCTTGGCGCCGCGAGTTTGGGTTGGGATACCGCTTCAGTAGCTTGGAAATCCATTCCCGATCCACCGGAAGTGGAGCAGTTGGCGTGCTACTCTCGTCTATTTTCTTCTCTTCGACGTTCACCATTCGTATTGATGCTGTTGTTCCTGCRGTTGTACGCCCGCGCCTTGTTTTTTCTATCATCAGCTAAGGGTTGAATTGATCTTCCGGTGAAAAAAATCATAATTCCGTACAACTTCCCCTTTCCTTCGTAAAATTGTACGGTACGTGCTACCTCTTCGTTCGTTCGAAGTTTTTTTCTCCGAAAACAAGTTTCATCTCGGAGGCTATGAGGAAGTACGATTGGCGGTCTGGCGTCCGTCGGTGAAAGGTCTTCCTGTGTGTACAATGCATCCCTAGCCCTAATGGATTCGGGAATGAACTTGATAATCTCAACAGAAAAATTCGTAAATTATGTCGGATGTCACACCCTCATTTTATGGACCCGTCATAGCGAATGAGCATCATTTTTTTTTAAGCCAGACGTTTGAGTCGGTTATATATCGTATATAATCATACAGAAACGTATATACATAAACCCATTGGTATCAGTATATCATCCCGCTTTCTCGGGGCGTCGCCAATGATAAATCGCAGATTCCGATTGATTGAGTCTTTCACGAAAGTCGAATCGCCGAAGGTCAGAACATTCTTAGACAAGAGATCGGATGAAAAATTCGGCGCGATCACACATCACAATCAAATAATCACTCTTTCTTCGTACTATTTCATTGAATTCTTTACCCGGCCCTGTATCCTTTGTTTACACAGTGCAGTTAGCCACAGAAACACTTGTCGAAGCGCAGCTACTACATAGATTCATTCAATTGCGTTAAATTTAATAAAATCGAATTGAATTCAATTTAATTTAACCGTGTTCAAGATGGAGGACAGCGATGATGCCCGGGATATGGCCATCAAAGAGGCCAGGCTAGAGCAAATGCTGAGTGAAAAATTGATGCAGGGATACGTTCTAATGGAGTCAACATGTCCGAAGTGCTCAACTCCACTCGTTAAAAACCACCAGATGGTCCCGCGATCGCTCCAGTGTCCGTCCAGCGACCAAAACGATACAAGACGAGTCGATAAGTGCGTGCTGCTCCCTCAGGAATCCTTCGATCAACCCTTCAAGCCCGTCGAAGGGGTTCCAGTGTGCGTGCAGTGCAATTCTCACGTGATCACACAAGAGACGGAGGTATCCATTCTGGAACAATGCGATTCCATGAAAGATAAGGGATCCATTTATGTGGCTCTAGAGGAAATCACAGACGACAAACCGGAAATTATACACCTAGATGGTGCCTTCGAAGTGAGTGTAAGTCCGAGTAAGGAACGATCGAACAACACCTTCCGAGATGGTGACAATGTCACCGAGCAGAAACATGAATCACCAACAAGGCAAATGGTTGACATCGAGACAACCTTTGACGACGGTACTACCAACTACGAGATTACCTTATCTCCCCGAGAAGGAGAGGAAGGCAAACCAATCGTCCTTGATGGTGACGAAACCAAACCAATCGACCTCGTGGAAGAAGATCCACTAGGATCGTATGCTGAAAGGTAAGAAAACAAAAAGACAGAAGACAGGCAGATACACAATAAGAAACTATTACGTAGAGTCGACAAACGCAAGCTATTTAGTGTTTGCATGATTGCTAACAATTTTTTTACATTTTTTTTAAATTGTCTCTCTTTTCACAAATTGTAGGCGTGAACTCGCAACGAAGGTGTTAGGTGCGAAAATGTTGCAGGGTTACACTCTCCAGGAGACGACTTGTGAAAAATGCTCCATGCCTGTCATGAGCTACAAAGGAGTCGTAAAATGCGTGGTATGCCCCGCTCTCGCGAAAAGGGCGAAGAAGAAATTGCGACAGAAGCAAAAGCATCAAGAGGCTGCACTCGGCGGGCAGCAGCACGAGCATGAAGAACCAAGTGACGTCTCGGAAGATCTTCAACACCGGGACGAGCAATTGGACCGTATCAAGACCGTGCGCAAAGAGATCGAAGAAAAAACGCATCGCGAAGAAGAAGCGGATGCCAAACGGGCGGAAGAACAACAAAAAGCGATTAACCACGAAAAGGCTCGTATTTTGGATAATATGGAAGACGATTCAAAAGATCATGCAGTTTCGCAATCAGGACCAACAGAAGACCCTCAGATACCAATGTCGGATGAACAAGCCGCGGAGTTGGCAAGATTGGGAGCAATTGCCAAAGAAGAGCAAAGAAAGCGCAAATTGGCAAAAGAACAACGTCAAAAGGAAGAGGAAGCTGTCGAACTCGAAGCACAAAAGAAAGCTCTTCAAGAAATTGAGACGAAGGCGTTGGCAGAGGAGTTGCAGCGTATTGAGGGTATGGACAAAAATACCCTGCAAAACGATAAGGCTTTGGCAATGAAGAAGGACTTGATGGTTGAGGAGTACCGCAAACGAATGCTTGGAAAGGCGGCTTTGGACAATGAAGTTGCTCGACTCGAAGAAGAACGTCTCAACGAAGAAATGGAAGCTCGGCGATTAGCAGATGAACAGCGAGCAGAATCCGAAAGCCGTATGATCGCTGCACTCGAAGCTGATGCCGCAATGAAGGCACTAGCTGCCGAGGATGCCATCCGCAAAGCAAAAGAAGCCTTGGCGGAGGTTCAATCCACTAAGAAGCAAATCATTTCGCAAACGATCGAGATCGCAGAAAAAGAAGTCATTGCAGAGGCGGAACAAACGATCATGGCAAACCGCGAGGACTACACTGAACCTGTCATTCTTCCTACCGATTCAGAAATCGAATCAGAGCGCTGGGAAACTCTCAGAATGGAGGGTCGAGCGATTATGACAAGACGCATTTTGCAAGGGTGGGAAATTCTCCCTGAGGCGTGCAAGGGATCCGAATGTTTCATGTCGCCTCTTATCGGTCGTCTAGGACGCAAGGAGTGTTGCGTTTGTGGTGGGAATGGTTCTGGGACCGATGGAGCTTACTCCAAACAAGAAGTAGCAGAACAACAACAATCTGAGGCCGAACTAGCTCCTCCACCATCTGTCAAGCTTGAGACTTCTGATGACGAATGCAAAGGAAAGGATTGGTATGATATGATGGACTTCGAAAAGAAACGGGCAATCTACAGCAAAGAAATCGGAAAGAGAATGCTTCTAGGCTGGGTTCTTGTTGACGCGACCTGTCCCAAGTGCGGAATGCCTATGATGATGGATGATCTGGGAAACACCGATATATGTGTTGTACACGGTGAGATGAACAAGCACTTCGATGCCTCTACAATTGCAACGAAGGATATGGCAGCTCTTGAAACTGCTGGGGAAGTAAGTGTCGAAGAAGTTCCCGAGGAGACTGGAGAACAAAAGAAGCATGTTGAAAGTGGATCTGACGGAACAAGCCCTGAACTTGTAGTGAAGAGAACGGACAGCGATCTATGTTCTACAATCCAAAAACAAGCTAAGAAGCAACAAACGAAGAGGAAACCTGTTACGACCAGTGACCCACCGGCATTCAAGCCGCAGGCACGTGTTTCGGTGGAAACCGCCAGGCAAATCTCTCAGGCAAGTGCTTTAGTTGAGAGCGCTAGGCAAATCGCTGGTCAACCATCCCAAAAGGTCAACGTCAAAGACGTTATCCCAATCGATACAAATGACTTTGCAGATTCTTCCGCTTTTGAAAAAGTGACTGGAGCCCAAGGTCGCGAAGAGACCAAACCGATAGACATATCGATTGAAATGGTTGCAAACATGTTCTTGAAGAGCCCACATGGATACGATTTTCAGGATTTTGGACACTCGATGAACGTTGACGAAATTAAAGAGCTCGTTGACATTTTCCTAGTGACAAACGTCGACAACAGTGTTTCAGATGATTTCAAGCTCTCGGTGGCCCAAAGAATTCTTAGCAAGATGAACTTGGACACTGCGAAGTCTCGAGATGACTCTTTGCCGCTTCGTATCGAAGTAGATGAACAACAATTCAACTTCAACGACATAGAGAGTGACTATACGGCGACAAAATCGACGGGCAAGTTTGGAAAACGGGCCAAACCAAGACCCGAGGACCAAGCACGAGGCTTACCTCCCGTTTCACCAACCAAAAGAACAACGCCTCGGGGCGGTTTGAACTACGTTGGTAGTCCGACTTATCGCCGTTCACGAAGCGACGACATGTCCGTAGCTAGCCGTGCTAGTACTGTGGCATCCGATGCCCTGGAATCTATTTACGACAGAATTGACGCTTGCAAGGAAAAGCTCTTGGATCCCAATAACACATTGGATGAGCAAATTGCTACAGCTTCACTTCTCGAAAGGTTAGCGCAAGCCGCTGTAGCAGTGAAGGAAATGGAATACGTCGAGTAAAGCTTTTGAAGAGATGACTGGCCGGGAGCATTCAAGTTCAATGTGGAGCTAAGAAAGGGACCAACTTTAATTATTTGTTTCATACGAAGTACTTCCCATGGTGAAAATACAAGAGTATTTTTAGATTGTGGTAATTTTAAGTCACGTTTGTTTTATAGTAGTTGACACAAGTTTTCGATACACGTTCAATTTCAGTTGCTGAGATCGAGCAGCTGTTGAGTCATTCTTTTCTCTCTTGTTATCACCATCATTATCATTTTGGTATTGCGATGGAATAATTACTTCACTCCGATCAATTTTGCTTTCTAGTAGAAGAAAACTGCGTTCATAGAATGAGTTCATTGAATTGATGAGACACAAGTGAAAAATCTTTTGTTGTTTTCTTATACTATGGTGCATCATCCCTTTGCTTTTAAAAGGGATACTACTAGCAATTATACAATGCAGGAAATGGTGACCTTTGAAAAACAATTGATTGTACTGAACGTTGCAAGCTCTGGAAAGTTGCAGAAAAGTTGCAGACTTGTTGTTCATCCCAGTATGACAAGAAATATAATTTGTGGTGCTTCCTGCTGGGAGAACGCTGATTTTGGTCTGTATCTTGAAGTTGTAGCAGCATCACTATTGACCCAGCAGTCAATACCACCAGGAGCTTGTCACCAAAAAATGGTCAAGTCTAACTACTAGCTCAATGAGTACTAGGATCACAAATACCAGGAGCCAACTACTACCATACAAGGGGGGAGGGGGGACTAATGCCTAATTCTTTGCCTTGGGAACACCTGGCTGGGATTCAAAGAGATATCAGTCACAGGGCCCTCCATTGGTTTTTGAGGAAGACAGTCACCAACCAAGATCAGGGTTTCCCATAGGTTTCTCCCATGTTTCTCTTCATAAAAAGATTCACAAATCAAAGAGAAACAAGCAAGGAGAAGTAACATTCTCTTTGTTTCTCTTTGTATGAACAGGAATTGCCCCCATCATTTCACCATTTAAAAATAAAGAGAATAGTTCCCGCCAGATTATATTCACTCTGGTTAAACAAAGAGAAACAATGCAAACATTGCCCAGGCAATATTATCTGTATTTCTCSTTATTTAAACAATGGGAAACAATGAGAGGCAGTATTATCTTAGTTCCTCTTTGTTATTGTATAGAGTTAGCCAGCAGATCTACGTATAGAGTTGGCCGGCAGATCTACGATCCAGTCATAGATTACAGGCTATCTTTTTGCATGTGCTCAGTACTTATCCAAGTACTTTTGAATCCCACCAGCCATGCAACAAAAATAGTTTTGCTCCCACCAGTTGTGCGACCAAATAGTTTTGCTTGCACGTGCACACTGTAGCCCTAATACAGTCAAATTTTCAAWCCCACAAGTCATTACACGGTAATTAGATGGCCCAAAATCCACGCACAGTAGAAAAACATGTAGAGCATTAAGAGAGGTTCAACTCACTCAAACAGCTATATCTTTGTCCCCAACAGACACTTAACAATGATAAGCACATAAATCGAATCCCAGTAAAAAGACAAATTCATCAATATGGGGGATTATAGGGCATTATTGATCATATAAAGTTATACAGGGCTGTATATGCACAATTGCTAATGTACAACTGGGTTGTCTTTTTTTGCTTGGCCCACACTATACAATAACAATGAGAAACAATGAGAATATTCCCCTTCTAAACAAGGAGAAAAATTCTCTTTTACGGAAAACTATTTTATTTTAAAACATCTACTAATGGAGGGCCCAGCATCAGGCTTTGTAGTAGCTTCATCATGAAGCTGTCACTGCCCTYTCATATCACAATTATGGTGCTGAAGGATTTGCTGGCCACCTCCTTTGTGCCATACTAGCATTATTCTTGCATGTTGACCATTAATTTTTGCACTGCTGCATCTGTTGTACCTGATGGTGGTGGAGAGACATAGTGGTGGTTTTAGACCAAATAAGAGTGAAAGAATGTYGTCAAGGAACTATTCTGGAGAGATAGAGTAGTACTAATGTTTCAGGCCATGAGGCATCACAAAGATTCACCAGCTTTATCTCCAAGCAGTTCCAGTATTTACAAAATGAACACCMCAGTGTTTTCCAGTCACAATGTTGTTGTTTCTGACATCAGTGTTGCATAGCAACAACAACAACCCCAGCCACCAGTATTCAACCAAGACCTATCCTTTGAAGAATAATGCCTGGAGTTTACGCTACACTACTCAGTTTTTAAGAATATTCACCAGCCTTGTCTCCATGCAGTTCCAGTTTTATTTACAGACGAGAAGAAGATTCTGGTCAYAATGTTGTTGTTTCCAACATTTGTGTTGGACAGCAACAACAACCCAAGTTCCATTAATGCAATCCAATATTATCATGATGCTGATGCATTCAGTATCTTCAGTATCTCCTGCAACTCAACCATGCATTTGCCTCAGCTGGATCCATCCTCAGTTCTTAGTAGGGACTGGCAACAGTGTATTCTGGTCATGATGTTGTTCTTTCTGACATTTGTGTTGGACAGCAACAACTACAACCCCAGGCCCCGTATTCAACCACAACTTTTCCTTTGAAGAACAACACCTGGAGTGTCTGCTACACTACTCAGCAGTTTAAAGAAGATTCATTACCAGCTTCACTCCATGTGCCAGTTCCAGTCTTACTTTTAGACCGGAAGCCCCAGTGTTTCAAGTCACAATGTTGTTGTTTTGGACATTCATAACAGCCACAAGAACCTCTTGCAGCGTGACTGCAACCATCAATATTTTAACCTCCACCTCCAAGGGTTTGTTTTGGCCCAACAACATCAAGAAGTCACAGTGTCTGTTTTCTTTTTTCTTTTGGCTTTCCATTTTGATTTTTTTTTCTGACTATTCCAACACCTGCGTCTTTGTACAGTGCAAGGGTACTTGCCTTAATTGGCTTGGCAGCAGTGTGCTTGACACTCACTTCCTTGATCACTGCAATTGGACTTGCCTTCTGGCTTGCCAGTGCACTTTGAAGTGATAAWAGTATGGTTCTCGCCCATCCAAACTGTCAATCAACCCCTTTTACTATTTTGAATCCAGCAACCTGCCTTTAATTGGCTTGTCAGTGTGCATAGAACCTGGTTGCTCCTCCACAAAACCTCCTTCTTGGAGGGAGGTGCTGCCCCTTGGAGCAGCTAGGAGCGGTCTTCTCCCTAGTTTGGCAAAGTCATGTTTCTAGCCATATAGTGCCTCTTCTACTAGTTCACGAGGTTAAATAAACTAATATTAAGATTTTTTTGATAGTACAACTACTAATTTGTACGTAGGACAATGCCTATGAAATTGGGGGGGATACTGAGGACTCATTAAAAAAAACTCCTGGTTGATCGATCTGAGACTTCCAGATCCCCTCATTTGTATTATAGCRAAGTTATTTGGTTATTCCAGTATGTGTGGGAGGAAAGTGTCCCCAATAGCTCTGTCTGGAGGGTGAGACAAACCTTCTACTGGTGTTTTTTTCTGACTAATAAACAGTTGGTTTTTAGTATACTCATAACCAATTCCAGATTCGATCCACACATTACCTCGTACAGTACTGAACGAACCATTTCAAAGGAGGACTGCATGCGTTCGTTTTGGGTGGCCACTTCATTTCCATCCGTTGATGAGATCATGCCTCTAAATTATGACCCCTGGATGAGACTTAGCTCCCAATGGTGTAACGGCACGAATATCCCTAAAAACAGAGTTTTTAGGCGAAAGTACATGAGCATTGATTTTGATTGGTTCTCTTATTTTCTTCCCTGGGTCACTCTCGAACARAGCCTRACAAAAATGACTGTCATTGGCAATAAGTACGAGTACCGTAATTGGAGAGCGAGCGAGCATGATTACCACAATTCGAGTTGATCCGTTGAAGCTTATTTTCGCGGAATCTTGCACAGAAACACAACGAGTTGAGAGCTTTTTGCTCTTTCGCTACGAAAACGTGAGGTGTACGTGTACGTACGAGGTACTCGTTAGGATCGGTAACGAGTTTTTTGCGACAAATTTAACATGGCTGAGAAAGTAATAAAAAAGAAAAATGGAATCTAAAGGTGCCATTAAGCACCTGTTCAAAATCAATTACTATCGCACGCAGTAATCGTACTCTTACGTTACTGGATGGACTCAAAATACCGTACACTGATGGAATCGTCCCCATTTTGAATCCACCCGTCCTCACGCATTGGTACGGATTGTCACCAATACAAAGTATCGAATACGACCCAATCAGAAGCACTTTTATCTCCACTCTGATAATCATGAATAAAAATTCTTGACGTATTGATGAGCAACTACAACAGCCGGACTGGAGGTGGCGAGAGCAACAGCATGGTATGCATGGATAGCCCCGACCCCTTTGACTGGATCGACGAGAGACAAACAAACATAAACAATGATTGCGAGGGGAGAAGGGACAAAACACCATGTAATGCCAGCAAGAGCACCTGGCCACAGAAGGAAGAGAGTGAACAAAAAGGAAAAGCCAAGTTACAGAGAAAGAGAAAGAAATACAAAGTTGACGTAAAACAGGACTCTGACTCTGACTCTGACTGGATCGACGAGAGTGGAACAAACATGAACAATGATCGCAAGGGGAGAACTAAGACAACGCCATCTAATACCAGTAAGAGATGCGGGCCAAAACCGCGTAAGAACATGTACTCGTATTCGAGATTTGGATTTGACGTAGAAAACAAACTTCCAGAAAACTTTCAACCATGTAAATTCGACGTCATTTATGACTGCCAGAGAATGGCTAATACACACGGTACGTTTTGAATAGTGGAAAYAACTCAGTGCTATCATTCACGCCTTCTCTTCAAGAGTATTTAATTCGTTTCCAGGCTAATGAGGGACAGCGTGCTTTAGCACTAGGAGTCTCTGCATCGAATCAGAGGTGAAGTGTGAAGTGAATGCCTTTAAACTAATTTAACCTCCCTTCTTTTCATATCTATCATTTTCCTTCTTTAATGTCGTCCTTCTCCATGTGCTTCGCTATTCGTTACAATACACCTCGTAAATTCACACGCACAGAAGGGAACCAAATGCTTCGAGAATTGGTATGGAATAACGCCCCCAAATATTTGGCCGCTAAGACCAGACCTTTGAGGGGGCCAATCATTCAGGCCATCCTTGATGAGATTCGGACAAGATCAACCACTGGTGTTGGCTTCGTTCGCTACAGTGAAGAAGCTGATCGATGGTTCGCTGTTGGCGACGTCAGGGTCAGGGACAAGATCGGCCACGCTTTGCGATATGAATGTTCGAGGAGATCTAGTGGCAGGGGACAGGAACGACGTGGCAAAACGGTGAAGAAGGTAGCGTTGGGTACCGTTCATAAGAAACGAAAGCCGAGTAWACCGGCATCGAAAGACATCTCGTGGATGAAATCGGGCATTATACTGCGTCAGAAAAAGCACCCGAATGCAGCGGGTCTGAGAGTAGCCTCGAGGACCTCGTCTTCTATAGTATCCACGAACTCTTCTGCTCAATCGCAACTAACAGTCGGTCGCACACGGGGAGCCATCACCAATGGTCCTAATGAGAAACACAAATTGCAGCTCGATGATACTGGTTCTCYAACCGCTTCCACACATTCAATATCTTCGTTGTTAAGCACGGATGTGTCAAGAGTCACCAAAAGGCGTCGGGCTTCCGCATCTCCGCCAGATAACACGGTCCCATCGTGCCATCTCCAGAATCAGCACCAACAATCTCATCCACTAGATAGTGATTCGCAAGGCCGAAATAGTAACAGTGGTTGTCACGATTCTGATGATGATCAGAATCATAGGCATCATTCGCATGGCTATCCACACCATCATACTACGGCAAAAACTCGTCGTCTACACTCAGATAGAATGCAACCACAAGTCACCAAACTAGGACACACTTCCCAATCTCCGTCAGACAACACCAGCCACTCTTACCATCTCGAGAATGAGTGCCAACAATCTCATCGGCCAGAAAGTAATCGTCAAGGCTCAAGTAGGAGCAATGGTTGTCATGATTGTAATAATCATCTCAKTCATAAACATCATTCGGATGGACATCTGCATCATCATACTATGGCAAGAATTCGTAGTCAACACTCGAATAGAATGCAACCACACGATGCGTTTGAATCCAATCATCCACCATCGGTTGGAGGAAGAGCAGGGATGACCCTTGCAAAAGAGACTATTGTGAAAACCAAGTCAGTAGCGGGCACGCCTGATCGCGCGCTTCCCGCGTCCGCTCGCTCACCATCTCCAATTGCTCGGTCTCGGCATAATTGCACTACAGGAATTTCTTCATGTACGGATGCTGCAGTGACAGATTCTTTGGTGTCGGGGCTGACAGATAACTCTTTCCAGATCTCGAACGGTAACGACCTCATGTTTCCCGTCCGAGAGATCACTGTTCCGATCCCTCTCAAGACAAAAAATATCAACACAAACATTAGGAGTTGTCCTGTCCCCAATAATCAAGAGACAAACAGCATCGACAGTAATATTAGCAGCAGTAACGCGGGGCTCTCACTACATTCTTCGCTACCATTGGGTCTAGCTGCTCCCAATCAGCAGCCGAAACAAGTAGTACAAGCGTCTAATCATCGCAGATCACCACACAGACATTGTTCGCAAACTGGTGGCGACGAGGGCTCCAATTACGGGCAGCAGCAGGTCAAACATCACAACGGACACTCGGCTCTACCATCGTCACCTCTTTTCGGAAGAGATAAGAAAGTTTCTGAACAATACCAGTCCCTTAATGCACTTAATGCTTTTTTCGATGGGCCACAAGAGGATGGTCAAACCACAGATCAACTAAAAAAGTACCAACACCAATGTGACCAACCCGCGCAACCTTCTCCTCCAGTGTCTCCTCCTCACGGTCAGCTACATGATCCCCATTACAATCCAAATCTAAATGGTAGCCGTGATGAATATCGTTATCTTCAGAGGATGTCACTCCTTCATGCTCCGCTAGGAGGCCGCAACGATCCTACTATCCAACATAAGCGGCAGCAACACCAACTAGCGGATGAACAAAAAACATTCTCTCTGTGTAGCTATGGTGAGGTCGAAGAACCGAAGCAACGACGAGGAAACGAGGACTTTCTGAGACAACAAGAACGGGTAGCAGAGCCAGAAGAAGTTTCTACAACGTCGATTAGTTTAGAAGCGCAGCAGGAACCTCAGTTTCTCGCAATTCACCATCAAGAGCAAGAGTACGCGGACTCGGATGAGGACGAGGATTATATCTACAGCAACCAATATTCCTCTTTCATTTGATTTTTGCAACTCATGCCATGTTTTCTACCAAAAAAAACAGTAGCAGTTATAATCCCGAAAATTGCTTAGTGGATGGTTGAGGAATTGTGTGCTACTCTATGTGAAAGACAGGAGAACGGGCGGCAACAATAATGTCATTCAAAACTACACGATCAAACACTTCGAAACAGAATCAATACTCTTCGGCTGAATTATGTACGCAGAATCGCGAAGAACAAATCAGAAAGTTCACAGCATACGTCACGAAACAGTAGCAGATATATATTCATAAATATGATGTAGTCGATTGATCAATCGATCCTTCTACCTATCTGCCACAATGAGAACTTGACTGATAGTACGGGCTTACTTACTCAGTCGCACGAGAGTGTCTTGGAAATGACTAACCTAACCAGGGTGAATGCAAATGAAAGAGAACACACCCTTGCATTCGCATAGTCACGCATACATAATAAATTTTTACGGTCAAACACGTACAAAGATGAATCAACCAACCGAACCTGCATCTATCAGCAACAAAGAATATCCCCCATACGCCGTGAGACAATTTGCTTTTTCCATTCATCACATTGTCTCCAAAGCACATGAATAGCAACGAACGAAACCAACAAAATCATTGTATTATATTAACATCAGTATTTTTGTCATTAATCATTGTTTTACAATTGAGCCTTGAGCATTAAAATTTGTTTAGTATCTTTTTTATCCATTGCTAGTACTAAGAGTAGCAGTCATACTATAGACAGCGGTACAAGTAGCATACCCTAGTAGAATTACTGGATGGACTTATCCTTATTTGAAGTCCATCAAGCAACACTCTCAAACAGTCTACAATTTTTGTTCCTGCAAAGTTTTCCTATCATAGACAAAGTAAATTCGTTTCTGTCCCATTGGAATGATTCCAACTTGGTTCTGTTGTACGAAAACAATTGTAGAATACCTTAGTGCTGATTTTGTTGTTCAACTGGGGCAGCACAAAAAATACCACAACTTTAATACTTTTTTAATATGTCACAATACAGACATAATTATGACACTATGCTACCTAGGACCCTATGTGACCAACTTCCTCTCTTCGTTACCTTTTTCCATTGATGAGCCTAGTACTTTCATTGAAGGTCTATTAGGGACTAAGGTAGAGCTGAAACTACCTATCAGGACTATAAACAGTTATAATGTTAAAGTACTAACATGTGCTGTAGATGATCCCAGGCGCCTTTTTCATCATGTAATGACTACTTTGACTCAACTCATTTCAGTTCCACTAAACTAGTAACTGCTGACCAAATTAGGCAACTCAACGGAAACTCTGGTGGCAAGACCCCCCTTTCATACATTTGTTCTATCTTCAGTCAGCCAGAGGAAGGAACTGTGATGCATTTATCATCACCTATTTTTTATATGAGCTATCAAAATGTGTTGATCACCTTTCTTTCTCATGGAGTAAATTGAGGAAAATACCTAACAAGCCAATTTCTTTAATATGGGATTCCAAATTCCAAAAAGAGGGAGAAAAATGTTCTATGTACTTTCGCCGTGCCTGTCATGTCTTTTACTGGCACTAAAATAATTCCCAATTGCATATATGGGAATATGTAATTGGGAATCACCCAATACCAAAGACCAAGGTGACATATAATTTTACTTACACTCTGACAGGGATGGATTTCTCAGTGCCTAGCAGTGGAATAATGAATGCAACAAGAAATACTCTCAACCCCCCTGCTATCTCCAGCAAGTTGTTGTACTACTAGAGCCCAGCATGCTGTGCATTTTGGAGTCCCACTAACATCACTAGTAATCATAGTAGTACATCCACCAGCTGATGATATTGTTCTAAGAATTAACCAGCACTAAGTGGCAAACATTCTGCTATTTTATTACTAGGCATGGCCACATCATGCACACCATGATGAGAGAATATCTGAGCATACTACTAGTACTTTGCCACAGTACTTGTAGTATCTCCTCTGATTATAGTAGTAGCTCTGAGCATACCACTACTAGTAGTATTTCTGAGCATCTTACTGTCTCTGAGCATGGCAGTACTAGTAGTATCTCTCAGGAGCATCAAAGTATCTCCAAACATACTGCTAGTAGTACTAGTATCTCTGAGCACATCTCTGAGAATGTCCTGCACAAAGAGCATAGTACCTCTGAGCATATCTCTGAGCACATCTCTGACGATATCCTGTACTTGAATCTTATGGAAATATCTTGAACATGAAAAAAAGAAATATATAATAATTGCTTCATTGAGTAGTACATATCATGCAGCTCAGCCCTACAGTGTAGTAGTTCCTATGGCATGAGGAGTGGGGCTATTTCTTCTGGGGACTGATTCAACATCTGAATTGTGTTATATCATAACTGCTAGACTATTTGTAGGTACTACTTTTGAAATGATGATGCATTTGCATTCCAAGTAACAAATCATGAGACACATTGTTACTGATCAGCATTAGCAAAAACCTATGTAGTTCAAGTTCCTACTACTTCATAGCTGCTGTATGGTAGGGGTTTAACAATAGTTCTGTCTGTGAGACGTAGAACCCTACCAGGTTTCACACAAAAAAATAGACACAACCTGCACTCACCAAACAAATCAACCTCAAAATGACCATGGGAATCACAATATCTCCACAACTAAAGCACCCTAAGACAAGCCAAGTGTACTGTTGCATAACTCTCATTCTTCTTGTTCATAAGCATTTTTAGTATTGAATTAATTGAAACTCAACTCTACTACTGTTCAACCATATGAAGAAAATGTGAAAAATTTGCAAATTCAGCATTTGCAGTAAAAGCACCAGGAAGGAACCCTCCTCCCTGGCAAATCCAAGCTGACAACTGTACTAAGGAGCATTATCTTATTATGGGGTTGATGTATTTTTATCATTATGGTTGGGGATGATCTAGAGGCTAAGTAATTTTTTGAACCAAGGTCTATGGAAGAGCCACAGAAAGGGAATGTGAGAAATGTAGCAAATGCATCACCAAGAAGGTCACTCTGGAAACTCTCATGGCCCCATAATAATCACACCAAGCACAATCAAGTTAGTTGGAATCCATACTGATATTGCTGGTAGAGGAGGAATGGTTTCATAGATCCTCTGCTTTCAGTGTTTCAGAAACTACAAGTATTGTATTTCAGAAACTGTAAGGGATCATAATGTGGTGAGTTTTCATAGTACTGGATCTACAAAGCAGTTCTAAATATTGAGTTCTTTGATCAGACACATTTTGATAGAAACAGTGTGGTGGTTGAGACCACTACTACTAGGACTGCTCAAATGGCCTCTAATGTCTTTCCCTTTGGGTATATCCTCAGTCACAGTGTTGGGGAGGTATCTATGTGTCAAAAACCTAATGAATAGGTCCACAATGGCTGCTGGGATGCTTATCTACTAACAGCCAATATGGTCAAATTTTGTTATTTCCAATGAGACCATCTGTTGGGTGGTWCAATAARATAGGCCAGCAAGTGACCCAAAAACAACTCTAGACCACCAGACTAAGTCAGTGTCATTGCTGGGAACCTATAAGAAGATGCTCTACTATAGGTCTAGAACTAGCTCGCCAAAGTTACAGTACAAGCTGGTTGCCAACTTTTTGATGTACCGGGCCCTCCTTTAGTTTTTACTAGGAACAAGACAGTTGTCAACCAAGATCAGGGTTTCCCATTCTTCTTGGTTTTCTCTTTATTTCAACGAAGAGGAGAAACAGAGAGAGTATTKCCCAGACAATGCTCTCTTTGTTTCTCTTTGGATAAACATCAAGAAATCCCAAAGAGAAGAAGATGCAATATTTTCTTTGTTTCTATTTGTCTAAACATACAGCAGAAGCAAAGAGAATACTGTCCATTAGGCTATATTATCTTTCTTTCTCTTTGTATGAACAAGGAGAATGCTCCCATCATTTCATCATGTAAAAACAAAGAGAATAGTACCTTCATTAAATTCTTTCTTCTTAAACAAAGATAAACAATGAAAATATTGCCCAGAGAATATTCTCTGTGTAGAGACACACCAGGCAGCGGAGGGGTCATTTAAAAATCAGTAGGAAATCTAGGTGATAATTTTCAGAACCGAAGTGCAAGTTTGTGTGTTTGAAAAAATGTTTTAATAATCACAMTACTTGAGTCTTAACCATATGATCAATTTGCATATGAAAATTGAAAATCAGAGAGTGATTGGAAGTGTTCCTTTGCATGAGGTCTTTTGGGTACACTTTTTACAGTGTTATGCAGGAAAAAATAGATGAAAAATCTGTTAGAGGAAATTTCCATGGATGGAATATGAGTTTTTAGTTTTTGACATTACTGTAGGCTGCAGAACAAAGAACCCTGCGCAAAAATATTAGAGCTACTAAGTACAATTCATGTGCTGGCATGTTTAAGGAGGCAATTCCCAGGCTGTCATTTTTTTTCATTCCCAGGCTGTCATTTTTTTTCATTTCCTGCATATGTTCCCCTCTCCAAACAAAGGAAAGTCCAAAAATATTTCTATTAGTAGTGGTCCTACTACTGGGGATATAATATCAGTGGTTACCACCACTTATTTTTTTTCCATTAGTGAGCACTAGCAATAGTAATTTTCTAGTAGTCTTAAGCAACAAAATTACCTCTGCAGAAGTTAGGACCACTTATCGTATAGGCTTGGCCAGCAGATGTACGGTTATAACCTTGTATTCGTGTCCATCTAATTACCATGTAACGACTCGTGGGATAAAAAATTGGCTTGTACTGCAGTGTACAGCCAGGCACATGCTGAATTTTTGAGTCCCACAAGTGTGGGACCAAATAGTTTCGCGCGCACGTGTTTACCAACAATTTTGGCTTCGAACACATGCAAATTTTTAATCCCACGAGTCATTACACAGTAATTAGATGGCAGCTAATCCACGCACAGTACAAAAAACACGTAGGGCATTAAGAGAGGTTCAACTCACTCGAACAGCCATAACGTTTTCCCCAACGGACGCTTAAGTATGATAAGCACATGGTTGAAAASAGAATTCAAAGAGCTTTCTAATGGCGTGGAGGAGTACGGCGTACGACGAATATTGACGGATATACGTTTATGTATATCTTGAATTGCTAATGTACGGTTATAACCATCTTTTTTTGCTTGGCCCACTCTATACGATAGAAATATTTTGGGACAAATTAAAGAATTAAAATATTTTTATTTTTGTCGTCCACTAGATGCCTTTTTTTAACAGGTTTTTACTTTTAAAATGAGCTAGAAATCTCTACTAGTATTTGTGTTTGTATGGGAATTACCTTCAAATTGTTGCCAGCACAGGAATCATACTYTGTAGCTCTAAACCCTATTTGGCATTTCACTTTTTGCTTCCTTTTCAATTATGACCCCTGTGATCATTGTACAGTAGGTATTAACCTACTCTACCGCCAGTGTCATAAATTTAGAGGGGTGTGCAACACATCAAAAACTCATATTCCATGTTAGGCACCAACMAAAAAATTCCCCCCACGGATTTTTTTCAATTTCATTTTCACTGCATAATACTAGTTTAACTATCCAACCTTTAAGCAGTTACAACATTATCAAAAATACTACCATTAGAATTTTTGAGTACACTATCTAGCCCAATTTTCATGAGGATTCTGAATATGCCAATATTTTAAGTATCAAATTGAATGATAGTGTACCTTTTGTTCACTGTTGAATATTGACAAGATTATAAGTAGTAGAAATTACTAGTACTGGGGAATTAGTGGGAGAAATGGATGAAGGACAGACAGTTCAAATTTTTGTTGGGGACTAGACTGGTGGGAYTGACTGGACAAAGGACAGACTATTTCTACTACAAATACAGCACTAGTATGTGCTAGTAGTAGTCTGGTACTACCACCAGCCCTGTGTCAGTACCTTAAAGTTTGAACTACAGAGAGTAATAACAGTGAAAATATACTTGACACAAGCCGTCCGTATCAATGCATTTAAATGAATGAATGGATGGGATGAATTGTAGGAGCCAAATAGAATGCTTTGTCAGAACGGTTGGAGGCCCACTGAATCATCTAAAAATAGATCATGTCAGTGAACTGTGCTCACGTCGTCGGTTGCTTCATTTTGCTTGCCAAAAATAAGGTGTCAAGGTAATTGGTGGTTGGTGATCATCATCAATGGAATAAGTGGTCCCTTTGAATCCACTTTCATCATCAATAGGCGCTATTTAAATCAACATTGTTACCCGTCATGTTTTTGCTGTATATACGGTTTTTGTTGTTATGGTCTTTTTGTTGTTACGGATCTCATGGACTTGTCCTAGGAACAGGGAAGAATATTTGATATTGCCATGACTACTATGCCAGTCTTCTAAATAGCAAGACAGCTGATTCGGGTTATTGTTATTCCAGTTTTTGGAATAGTGCAGCCTCATATAGCTGTCTAACCTTTCCTTGCACCACAGTAGTAAAAGTCGTAACTGCTGGCTAACCCTCTGCTATTCCTTGAATAGCCTCTGTCCTTTTGCAAGGTCCCCTTCTTTACATCATGAGGAAATCCCTGATGCCATCTAGTGATCAGCTAGATGGTGGATTGAATAGCGCTTGATTGATGTTTCTTATCGTGTTTGATCCGGAATATGGAATGGTCTCCACCAGATCYGCATTACAAGCAAATCCGTATAGTATTCCAAATTCGTATCGTATTCCGAATCCATATCATATTCCAAATAGTAACATGAGGGACGACAGAGTGAGTCGCTGGGTCTGGTGATAAACTAAAGAAATCACCACATGTGCAATACTAGAGCAGTGAGTGTAGTAGTCTTACTAAGATAACACATGCAAACAGTAGGCTACAATACTCTAAAGACTTGTTAGCAGATATGAATAACATGGTGTTGGGGCATGGTGATAATGGTATTTACTAGTAGATTACATTGAAAAGGAAGTGGAAGCTTCCCCCCCCCTCGCATACTCAACACAGTGCTACAGTGTATCAGTGATTAGACACTACTATGACTGTGTGCTGTGTTAATGGGTCATTAAGAGGCCTCTCCAGGGTCATTCGGTACTGGAATGAATAGCATGGTGTTGGGGCATGGTGATAATGGTATTTACTAGTAGATTACATTGAAAAGGAAGTGGAAGCTTCCCTCGCATACTCAACACAGTGCTACAGTGTATCAGTGATTAGACACTACTATGTTTGTGTGCTGTGTTAATGGGTCATTAAGAGGCCTCTCCAGGGTCATTCGGTACTGGAATGAATAGCCTGTGACCAACAGTACACTCATAGGATTGGTACGTACGTATCCTAAAACATACCACGTACTGAATCGTATGAGTCGTATGATTCAATCGTATTGTATCAATCGTATTGTACGAGTGATTTTTACCGTACGTCAGTGGTCTTTTTAGAAGCGGATTACACCTAAGTAGAATTAACAATTTTCGGCTACGAGTACCGTACCCACTAGTATCTTCGCGCTTTGTCCTCCAGGGATCCTTCAACGCTCCATCTTGTTCTGCGAAAGAAGCGCAAGAGCAGAACAAAATATTGAGTACAAAGGACCATCAAAAGGAAGTAGTGCAATTTCTCCTTTTTGTTTTGCAAACGAGAAATCATATCATGAGGAATTGTAGCCGTTGCATGCATCCGTACCTTTGGGTTGCCATCGGCGCCGCCGCAAACCTGTTCCTGGTGTTCCGGGAAGGAAGTTTTTGTTTTGCGTTTGTGATTGGTGGTGCTGCCAGAGCTACGACTGCTGACTATGGTTTCGACATCAGATCATCCAAGATTCCAATGCGTGCTTCCTCTACTTCCGAAGCTCCCTTCCCGCCCTTGTCGAAGGACGATARCAGCAGAATGAGCAGCAGCAAGAGAGACACAATTCGCCCCATTCATCAGAATTGGTGGCCCGTGGCAAGCATCTCGATGCTAAAGTGCGACAAACCAAACGCGGTAACGCTTCTGAACCAAAAACTAGTTGTCTTTCGATCGGTTGTGGCGAATAGCAAAGGCGTGGATGGGAACGACGACGACTCGGAGCCAACAGAGGACCGCTGGACGGTAATGGACGACCGATGCAGTCATCGATTTGTGCCTCTTTCYGAGGGAAGACTCGTAGAGTCCCCTGCGTCGTCGTTTTCGTCGGCGTCGGGGTGTGCCTCGTGCCACAAGAACATCCAGTGTGCCTACCACGGCTGGGAGTTCGATGGATCAACGGGTGCCTGCACCAAGATCCCCCAGAAACAGCGAGTTGACAGCCAGAAGGATGGAACCGAAAAAAAGCACAAAACCAGCCCGGGCGTTCGATGCTACCCGGTGAAAATCGCAGCTGGAATGGTCTTCGTCTGGGCGGATCCGGAGTCGTACGAGACACTGGGCAAATCGATCCCCGTTCCCGTACCGAGCTACGTCGACGAATGGTACAAATCCCGTGGATCGCGCACGTTGTTCCAGCGCGATCTGCCCTACGGATACGAGCTCCTCGGCGAGAACCTCGTGGATCTCGCCCATCTCCCATATTCCCACCACGGGGTTGRGGGATTGGATCGGTTCAGCATGGGGAATCCGCTGCCCTTTCGGATGCTCCAGGATGCCCAAAAAACCAGGGACGAGGCCGTGGACTACGGACAGGATACTGATCCAGTTCCCGTGGCGACCACCGACAACAACATCAAGCCCCTCTACGAAGTGGAACTCGACGATGCGACGAATAACGATCCGATATTTCAGAGCATGAAGGTGATGAGGGGACCCGACGCGGTTCCGGACGGTTCCACGGTGCGCGTAGGCTTTTACCAGCCCTGCCACGTCCGGTACACCCGTACCGTTGCGTCGCTCGGCACGAAACCGGGAAGCCAGAGCCGCGTCGTCCTGTACCTCTGCCCGACGTCGTCCACCAAGTCACGGGTYTTTTTGATCAACATGTTTGGCGCTGCCGAAAAGAAAGCGGAAGAGACAACCACCACCGACGAGTCGGGCCCATCGCCGCTTCTATCTGCCTCCTTGCGTACACGGGTCGGCGCCGCCCTGTCCGGGTGCAATGCATCGATAAAGAAAGCCTTCCAGGCAATATTGCTCAACCTTATCCTGAAATTCAAGTTTACACCGGTGGCCGGTCACATGATCGCCCACGAAATCTTTGACGGCGACGGGATTTTCTTGGCCATGCAGGGAGATCGGATGCAGAGAGGGGGGGCAGCCGCCACCAAGCAAAGCCGAGCGAGGAACGGCAACGGCGGAGACAACGATGGCGGCGAACAGCGGCAACAACAGCAGCACCGCAAGCCGCTTTCCTATCGAGATTACCAGACCCCAGCAACCTCAGACATTCTGGTCCACGCCTTTCGGAGGTATGTGGAGCAAGCCGCGAAACGAACGCCAGATCCAAGCACGGTTGACGCCATCGAGCCAACGTCCGTAACCTACAACCCCGACAGCGTCCTCCGCTCGCAACTCCTGGACCGATACGAATCGCACACCAAGGACTGTTTGTTCTGCCGGACGGCATTGGAGAAGGGCCGCGCCCTCGAGGCAAAGCTCGAACTGGCAAAGACAGCGCTGGTGGGGGCCTCTGGTGCATCCCTTGCCGCCGCTCTGATCGGATGGATCTGTGGCCGTGTTTTGGAAACCTCCACACCGGCCTCCTCCTCTATGTTGCGGGCGTGCACCACTACCGTGGTCCGAATGGGCCTGCGAATCGCTCTTTTTTCGGGAGGGTTTGCGAGACTCGCTTTTGTCCTCCGTGAGAGGGTTGCCACGAACAACCAAAAGTTTGTATTTGTGGATTACGTCCATGCAGAACGAGGCTAAAGCGCAATTCGGTTCGAGCCGATTCTATGTGGATTCAGAATGCGTGTCTTCTTTCGTGTGTACACGCTTGGTGGATCCAGAAGATCAAAGGGGCCGCCGTTTGAGAGGATGATGGCTCACGGCCAACCCTTCTTCTGATTGGTCGTATCGTAGTTTGGAGATGGCTGAGCCAGGACACTTAAGTTGAAAACTATCAACGTTGCGTTTGGATCAAGTAAATTAACTTCTATGCAATGATTTACAAAMAAATGTTGATAATAGAGTAAAAATAAAATGGGTTTCAAATCGTGGCTTATGATGCTTGCAGCGCTAGGTAGGCCTACTAGATGGCATACCCGTTGGACCACTTCTGGAATTTGTCGTATGCACTGGTACCCCAGTGGTTTCTCGCGCTTTCAATTAAAGCCTTCGCTCTTCGTTCTACCATCTTGTCTGGGACATCCAGCATGAGACGCTCTCGGAATCCCCGCAAGGCCTGTCCTCCGCCGTATCGCCGGCCCGAAAAACAGGGATAGTTGGACTTGAACATCATGATCTCTACCAAACCGAGGGCAATTTGGCATTTGCTTCGGGCCTCCTTCATACCCTCGACAAATAGATGCACGAATTCCTTGTAACATTCGCTATCGCTGCCACCCATAACTTCCACATATTCCTCTGTCAACTTGAAAGGAGCGCGCTCCATGGTAAATTCGTGACCGACGCACATGCCCATGCAGAAACCATAGTCGATATGAATCAAATGCCCGTACATATCGATCATGATATTTCCGTTGTGGCGATCCTTCAAGCCGAGAAGGTAGCAAACGACGGAATATCCAGCTAAACTCTGCATGAAATTGCGTTGAGCTGCCTTAAATGATTTTGAATCGGGTCCACCGTACGTATTCTCATAGTACTTCAGAAGACCGCCTTCTGCAGGATAATGCTCCGACTTCTTCAGACCATCGAGAGACGTTGAATCTTGATTGAACTCCAAAAGGCCAGTACTGGCAGAAGTACTCAGGATTTTGTACGTCTTAAGCCAGAGGGGGAGATCTGCGGCGATGAAGACGCTCTTGTAATAGTGAATCATCTGCATAACAAAAACTTCTTGTCTTAAATCGTCATTCGATTTCGAAAGTAAACATACTATTTCGAGATGAACTTTCTTGTCTTCAGGTTTGTCCTTGATACCCTCCAACATTCGGAATGATTTCTCGGCCCAAGTTTCTCCCCCGCACACTATTTCTTTCGCTCTAGCCATTGATTCTTGGTCAATGTCCCCCGCGCGTAATTTTCCCTTGAGAATTTTGTTTTGCTCCCTGACGGATGACTTTCCAACGTAGACAGCTTCTCCGATTCCATGTGTCTCTGACGAGCGCCTTCCCATCGCAATGGGAACATCGGAAATAGTCGAACGCGATGACCCTCCGTTGTGACTCTGGCGACCTTGCTTTCGTTCTAAATGGTGTGCCAGTTTGCGCGGCATGCTGACCATGGATTCTCGCAAAAACTTCCTAAGCTGGCGGTTAGCTCTCACTGGACTTCCCTTTCCCGACTGACGCTTGTTGGGCGTTGCCTCCACAGCATTCTCTGTAAAGCTTCCTGACCAAACCATGCTTGATCGGTCCTCTTTCTGTGGCGTGGAAAAGAAATCTGGTGACTTGCTGTCTGTAGGTCGATCAAGTTCTGTGAGATCATTGGAGCTCTTTTCGTTTTCATCTCCCTCCTCTATGGTAGGTACTACTTTCTTCACAACAAGGGTTTCTTTTTCATCGCTAAGACTCGGAAATGTGTCCATCTTGACCTCGAGCATCTCCTGACCATTTTCGAAAATTGTTGTCACTTTCGTGTCTCTATCGTCTAGACTCGAGTCAAATTTGAGGTGAATATACTCTGCAATGTCCATGTTGGCGTGTCGTTTGCCCTTGTATTCCAATTCTCCCCGAACTCCCAAAAAGTACATCACTGTTGGGCACCGAGCCTTTGTGTTGAAGACTCGGGTATCCTTCCAGAGTGCAGAATGAATGCGGCGAAAAATGTCCGTAGAGCTCATCAGGGGTGAATAAGAATAGGAGGGGATCTCCAGCTTTTTCATCAAGCCCGGTGCCTCTTTCTTTCGATCGGCGGGGTCGAGGAAGCGAAGATCTTCGGCAACATCGGTGAGGCGTCGGACAAAGTCTCGCTCTTGTCGATAAAAGTGGTACCGATCCCGCTGCGATGGCGTCAGTTCCTCAATGACTCGCTGGGCATCCTCGTTGTCATCAAGAGCTAGTGATGCATCGGTGTGACCAAAGACGCGGCGAGTGGATGCCTCGGTGCCAAGCATCTTGGTCCACTTGTTTCGTTCCTCCAGAGAGCTTGCCCGGATGCGAAACTCAAAGCTACGATTAGTCACTCTGAACATATTATCGTACTTGCTTTTTTTCATTACTTGGACTGTGGCACCTTCTAGTGGCATGGAACGCACCAGAGTTCCGCCCTCCACGTTATAGCAATTAAGCATGCGCTCTTCGATCGCAAAGTATCGTTTCTTCCAGCGTTTGAACTTGAAACATGAGGTCCTGACGGCCCGCTTGTACATGAGTTCTCCTCCAAAGATCTCTTCATCTTCTACTTCTGGGGTATTGGCTGTAATCTGCATGGCAGTGAACCTCCGGTCGGCTTGTTCGAGGCTGTGCATCTCCGCCTTGGTAATGTTACCCTTTTCGTAAAGACGCTGAAGTTCTCGGCTCCGTGGTTTTCGGTAGACAACGCACCGCTCAATGTTGGTTAGAAGCTTGACGCACCGGACGTAATACAACGGATTGTGGGTGGGATTTGGGGTACCATCGGGAAGTTCCGGTTGGTAATCCTCAATTGCACCGGCCAGAATCCAGTTGAGTTGCAGGGCAAAGTGAATAGATTGCTGGGCAATCACGAGACTGAATCGCTCGAGAATGGCATCGTCCCACTCGGTTTCCAGGTGAATAATCATGTGCGCCAATTGGGGAAGATAAAATTCAATTCCTTCAAAGACGTCTCGATGGCCAGCGAACTGGAAGAAGACAACCAAAGAGTTCGAACGAAAAAAAAAACACAAGTTAGCCGAGGTTGCTGCGTCTGTATTGTCATAGAATATCGATTCACCCAACGCCACAACCGTTATTCCAAACTTATTCGTCGATTCTCGCTTTTAACAAATACCGCCTTCTTGTCCTCCTCTGAATGATTTGCTGGAATGCAATTCATTATGGTTTGTTTCGTTTCATTACAAAGACTGCAACACAACAGAACGTACCTTGCTGACAAAGCGTGTCATAAATTTGATCACCTCCTTATCGTCCCGAAACTGCCAGATAATCATCATGACCTTTTCCATAGGAACCTTTTCACCTGATTCCTTGCCCAAAACCTCATCGATGAGCTTTTTCCGGAACGCCTCATTTTCCTTATGGATTTCGGCAGCCGTCGTACTCATGTTCTTAGAAAATCGCAGGGGGAAGAAGCTCGATTTCCGTTGGTTGCTCTGCACAACACTGTTTCCACTCTTCGATGATGTGCTCTCACCGCTTGAACCTTTCAACTCAATTCCAGAATAAATTAGGTCCGAGGACGATACAGAAGGTTCTGACTCGTGTCGATTATTATAGCTCTTACTATGCGGGGACGTTCTTTTCAACTCGACTGTGAGATGAGTCCGATGGTCTTTGGTTGTTTCCTGACTCAAAAAATTACTGCCCTTTTCACTTGATCTTTGATTGGACCGCTTACTGCTGTCAACAATGTCGTTCCAGTTGAGTTTCKGAGGTGAGCCTTGCTGAGACGACGACGCCAGAGATCCTCCAAGACTTATATCGTCGTAACTGCTGTTCCCACCGGGTGTTCCTGGTGCACCTTCCACAAAATCCCGGTTCCGTCGCTTCCTGCGAATTCGATTGGTTTCGTTCTGGATACGACTGAGAATTTCGGCGCTCCGTTCGTCGTCGTAATCGTAACTGCTATTGGCGGTACTGATATTTATATTTTCCTGGCTATCGCTCGTCATGTATTATTTTCATAAGCAAACGTTCAGATCATGCATTTGCTGTTATATATCCTAATTGATAATGGGACTGACAACAGAAAGTACAAGTGAGAGAAAGGCAGGTAGTGTTGTTCGATCACTGTAATGTCTTTGGAACTGCACCGAAGCTAACCCCCCTGCAGACTAACACTATTTTGCAAGAAATGAAGACAGATCGCTTTTAATTTGGATTTTACTGTCGCCGAGAACAGCGACTATCGTACAGATACGTACAGTACGATTGTAATCACTGATGATGAATCTACCCGTAGGATTAGGAGTACGAGTACTATTTGTACTCGTACGGGTACGAACCCGACCACGTAGCCTACAGTAAGAACCCTACAGTACGGTACGTACTATGTCAGGTATTGAACACGAAGTTGGTAACAGTAATACCGGCCGGTACAGTAATGTGGCTTGCGTGCTAAAAAAAGAAAGTACGTAAGGTACGCTACGCAGGGTACAGTTTTTTCGTTCGGAAAGTATCGTACTTATCGAATGAACCGGACGGTCTTCTGTCGTAATCATTGTTTTCAAAACTAACCGCTAAACGAACTAACTGTAACGGATTTAAGGTTCAAAATATAACGGCCTTCACGTGCTTCTTATCTTACTTACGGAATAGGAGTGACACGCTCGTCTTCCCAAGAATTGTGGTACGTACGGTACGTAGTTGTCGGCTAATTCATCTCWGCTTCATAAGGAGATTTCTCCTGTATGATACTAATAGCCCTTTTCGTCTCTTTTCTGGCGAAAAGTATTAAACACACCATTAGTTCTGTTACTCTAACAGGAACTATCCCTTGCTGCCGGCACATAATTACGAGTATCATACGAGTACGTTTTGCCTTCCTACGGTACGGTATTGATTACTGTACCACCATACTTCTTAATAATTGAATCATACCGTACGGTAGGTATGTTAGTACTATATGAAAATATTCTAAGGTCACTTTGTTTTTAAAGTGTCCTGTACGTCATTCGTCAATCTTTATCATCTCCTCAAAAAATTACGTACTGTACGGTACAAGAGTATGTACATTACGATACGTGCAACGTACRTATTTACTGTACTATATACCATACAGATAGTACGTATTGTGAGTGGTACTACCGCYACATACGGTACCGGTAAAATATTCCGATGACATGAGATTGCTATGACGGGGACGAAATCTCGTCGTTATGGGCGTTGCCGTGAAGCGTAGCCGGGGTAATTGTGGTACGAGTACGTACCGTTCGGTACGGTAGGAGTGTCACAAAATGACATCATCTCAGAAAAGGAAAAAGAACAATAACAAAAAGAGAGTTTCCTACAGAAAAGTACCGTACGTGAAAATTGCGGTAATCGTATTGGCAATTGGTATCCCATCATCGCCATCGCCATTGTCCTCGCAACTTTGTCATTCTCTTTAATCCGTTTGCACAGTAGTAGCAAGAGTCTGATAAACAGCCTTGTTCTCAGGCGCACGAAAGTTACTGAAAAAACGAATACAAATATGACGACGAACGACGGCAACAGTAGAAGCCCCAAAGCTATCATGGCACGACTGCTTTCGCGACAGCCCTCAGAATATGAAACAGCGTCACCATCACCGTCACCTTACTTTTCATCAGTGTCGCCCCGCGTGGCAAAGATGTTCGAGATCCTTGAGCTCCGCGCGAATTTCCCTCAGAAACTCCGCAAGGACATGGATGAGGCACTCGATGGAGCGGCCGGAAACTTTCTCTTTCACCTCGAATCGAGTGTGGCCGACTTGCTATACGCTAGTGCAAACACTTCTAACAATCATAGTCAAGAGGATCAACCTCAAATTGGCCTCAACTCTGACGTCGACACGGAAAACCAGGTCGAGACTGCGATACGATGCTTTCCGAATGTTATTTGTCGAAGGTCGTCGACGATTTCAAGATCCGAATACAACGCTCCCATCGAGGCCCAGATCACACTGCAGTCAGTGGCCTTTCTCCCATTGCTGGCTAGACTTGGAATCGAGTTGGGTGATGGTACAACGTTTGCCACAGAACAGCGTGGGGGATTAGTTCCTCCGAAGGCAACATGGTGCCTTGACAACCAAGGATCGAGTCCATTTGATGGCCTGAACTATCACCTACGGCATCCTGATTCTCGACATCAACTGCGCAACAATCAAACTAGCACCAATTCACTCGTTAGGTTGCTTGCTCCTCATTTGTCTCGCTGCACGAACCGGCATTCATCGTGCAACGTGCTCTTTGAGCTCGCTACAACCACCACAGAGCTGCACGATCCCGAACTCTCAGAGCGCATCGACAAGGCCTTCCTAGCCGTGATTCAAAAACTCCGGGCAGAGAACTTGTTTTTTCAGCATGATATATGTGGAAGTTCCAAGTCTATCTACAATCGTAACAATACACATTCCGATTGGAACATGGTGACAACCCTCTGTGCCACCAATCCGTGGATACCCTTCCCGAAACAGCGATTCTCATACCTAGTAAATTGGCACCCCTGCAGCCTCCTGACGCCTAACCACCAGGGGTGGCTTCCCATTCATGTCGTTGCAAATGCTGGTTGTTGTAGAGAAGAAGAAAATGGTGGCAATTATGGTTCCGAATACCTTAGTGAAGCAAGTAGCAATCCCCATTCCTGTCTAGATCGATTCCGAATCGTTCTCGCTGCGGGCATGACAAATTTCCCCACAGAACTGGGGGGTCTCTTTCACACCAACAAAGGCGGTGATTCGGCTTTTCGATTGGCCTGTCAAAACTTTGGAAGCGCATCCGTCTATGCTTTAATCGATAACATCATGTTTGAACAGGAAGTTCGACAAAAACAAAGCAACACAGCATCCACAACGCAAATAATACTGCGGACTTTGGTGTCCCTCGGAAGCCAAGAAGTAGTCGACATGGACGGTCTGTATTTCTGGTTGCGGAGGGAACCTGCAACGATGAAGCTCTCTTCGTGCACTCAGTCTTCTCGGAAAAAAAAAAGAAATTCATGTTGAGAAAGAAAATAACTACCAAAAAATGGAATTCTACCCGATGAAGAAGACGATGCCAACTACCTACGACTAAGTGTACCTTGAGACGACTTATTCCCAACTGTGCGGTATGAACCAAGGCTCGTATCGGGTGTTCATTTCAAGGTGAATATTCAGTACGTATAACCACTAAACAAAACTTAAAATCCCAGGATGAGATTCGCTTTTCTAATTCTCCGCCCGTATCGTTCTTTTACAAACAACGCATCAATACTAATTTGTACATATACTAATTTGAAGTCACTATATAAAGCCTACAGTCTTTTTCTCCCCCTTTTCTATTTCTACCGCCTTTAGACCCTTCGCCGTTCTGTCGCACGGTTGAACCATTCCATCTTAGAACATGGTAATGTATCAATGAACAGGTGTGGCATTGTCTCCTTCTCGTTATTCTCCAACGCATGGATTGGCGAATCGATTCATGATACGTAGAAATTAGGCACTCATATAGGTTGACACGTCGATTTCGTCAGGAAGCTCAGGGATGTTGACCTCGAACCGACTCTGGACCTTGCTCAAAATTTCCTGATCTGTCTCGCTCGAGATAAACGAAATGGCAATACCCTTAGTTCCGAAACGTCCGGCACGACCGACGCGGTGCAAAAACTGGTCTGACTCATCAGGGAAATCGTAGTTGACAACCACATTGACTCGCTCGATATCGATACCACGTCCAAAGAGGTCAGTTGCCACCAAGATTCGGGCATTGAAGTCCTTGAAGGACTTGTACTGAGAAATTCGCTCCTCCTGCTTCATTCCACCGTGGATGCAAATGGAAGGAAAGTTGCATTCCGTCAAGAGACGGTTTAGTTCCTTGGCACGGGCAACTTTGGAAACAAAAATGACAACCTGGTTGAATTCCAAGGCATCCAACAAGTCGTTGAGCTTGCGGTTCTTTTCAGCCTCAGCCAATTTGCAGTAGTAGAGCTGCAATCCATGGAGGGTGAGCTTGGTTTCGTCATCAATGTAAATTTCCATTGGGTCTTGGCAGAACTTTTTGCAAACCGGCCGGACCTCCTTCGATAAGGTGGCACTGAAAAGCATGACCTAGATTTGTTTTGGACGAGTGTGATAGGAAGAGATTATTAAGGTCAGAGAATAAACACAATGTACAAAACATGATCGAAACATTACGATACAGCTATATCAAATGTGCGAAATTAATCAGTCATGCAATATGAAAGAAACCACACGAAGAAGAACTCACCTGCTTTTCGTGGGGCGTCAAGCGGAAAATTTCCTGAATGTCACGTCTCATGTCTAAGGATTCGAGGACGCGATCGCACTCGTCCAGGACGAAATGCTTGATCCCGTCGAGCTTTAGGTCTTTGTCCCGAGCCAACCCAAGAATTCGACCAGGGGTTCCCACCACAATGTGCGGACAGTCGTTCTTGAGGATCTCCTTATTCTGCTTGACAGCAACACCACCGTAGAAGACGGCCGTCTTGACCTTGGGCAGATACTTGCTGAATCGTTCGTACTCGTGGGCAATCTGAAAGGCGAGCTCACGGGTGTGGCAAATAACCAAGACGGAGACCTTGGACTCTTCGACGTTGGCTTGCTGGAGGGTTGCGAGRGTAAAGACGGCAGTCTTTCCCATTCCAGACTTTGCCTGGCAAATGATATCTCCTCCAAGGACAGCCTGGGGGATGGTCTCGTGCTGAACTTCAGAGGGATGCTCGAAACCGGCATCAACAATAGCCCGAAGGAGCTCTGGCTTCAGCATGAAGTCCTTGAAGCCAGACGCATGGATGCCAACGTAGTGCCCTCTATATTTGTGTGCGTTGCATGGATTGATAGCATCGCAATGAATGGTTGCATTGAAGGATGATTGTTTTTGAATTAATCATTGAATCAATATGATTACGGGACGTAAAAATTGTTGAATATTGAGTTGAGTTGAGTTGAACGGGATGGCGAATGAGGTATCGTGCAGAACAAATTTGTTTTCGTTTCAATTCATTCGCGTAGGCATGCGCAGCAGGTTGTTTGTATAACAGGATTGATATCGATTTCGACAAGACTTTCGTTTCGATTGGGCAACGCTACTTTGGGTTCGTTCATCAAAGAACAGTGGAATGATACGCAGATGACGCGTCCTCGAGTGCTCTGGATATCGGCCGCATTGGAGTGCCGTGACTAAAGCCGGGAGGGCAGTAGTTTTGGATGGCAAAACAATAATAAGAGCAAAAGGAAGGCGATCTGCCACCCCGCCTGTATCCAATCTAGCGCCGTTGATTCGTTACGCGACTGTTCTGTGGTATCCTCCATAGAAGTAGAGAAACATCTGGTGTCACGAACTCCATCCCCGATCGTTTCCTTCGGTCCAACGTGATGGCAATCGATTTGGTTCGATTCCGCTCTGCTAGGTCGAGTTCGAAGAAATCCAAACTGATTGATTCCATCATCTGTTGATTCATTCAGAATTCGTTCACTTCCGGTCAGCGCTCAATAGCATGGCGCCCAACCCGAAGCTTTGTTTCTCCCAAAATTGAAGCGCCTATCGAGTCGTATCGTAGAACATCGCTTATGGATGGATTTATGATACAATGTCTAAGTGTCGTTTCGTATCAATCGTTTCTTCGAATCCTGTCTATATCATTTTGTAAGGTACGGTATAATGTCTAACTCACTTTTTGGTTTCCTTTGCCTCCTCTCCAGTGGCGGCCTTGTCGCCGACGGCTACCTCCTTTCGTTTTCGAAAAGTTGGTGAAGGAAAGAGAAAATGGATTTTTGTTGTGAGACAATCATTTCACGATTACTTCGCATACAACAACAAGCAGAGCCAAAGCTGGTGTCGCAACGACAGATCGGAAGATCTGCAAAGTTGGGTAGTTCGTGTGGGATAAAACATACCTCTTCTTCGTCGTAATCGACAAGTTCGTCTTCGTTGTTATCGGCCATGGTTATTATTTGTTAATTTCGAAGGTTTGATCAAGGTTTGTTCTCCGAGCAGAGTCCTAAGTTGAGTGCTAGGGTGTTTTTGTCGTTGGCAATGGTTTCAAAGCTGAAATGTCCCGTTTCTCACACACGACAGCTGCTTCTCGTAAAATATCTTGCCATCGCCGACAAAAAGCTTGGTTGACCAGCATGTGCACGAGTACTGGTACTTGTAGTTGTACGGGACGGACGTAGAGATCCAAGACGAACCAAGGGCATCGGTGGATTATTATTKATGACTCGCCGTTGGATGCCTCTCATGCGGCCCATAACCCATTACCGCACCCGATACGGTCTTGCGTTTGGGTACGAGTACCGCTACGTACAATACTTCCGGGTCTCTGGGCGCTGTAAGAATCCTTTTTTGCTTCAATTTTTAACCGATTCATGGACCAAACCAAAATTTTGAAATTTGAATTCTCCCTTTCCATTTTCGAGGGTCTTTTCGCTTCTCATGCGATACCACTACAAATCAGAGACCGGTACTCGTACTCGTACGAGTRTGCGAGCACTCCTGAAACTGAATTGTTGGTAAGGAATCCTTTGATCCGAAGTCAGGGAGAGAGCACGAGTCGTTACATCGAATAAAACAAAAAGCAATCACAAAGTCCACAAGCCTGCGTTGGAAGCCTTTCAGTAGTGGATGCAACAGAAAGCAACAGCATGGCAAGCGAATTCGTTTCTACGATTTCTGAAGTGGTGACTTCCAAGATTGGCAATCCCTTGGAGTATTTCAACCAACAATACTACGGCGTCTTTCTGCCTCAGTACCATTTCGCTCTCACGAGACTGGAAATCCAGCAATGGGCCGTCTACCAGACCGCCCTTCACGCCTGCGCTACGGATTCCTGGAAGGCTCTCTCCAGTACCTATMAACTGTGTTACCTGATTCTGCGGCCCTTTAGCATCCTCTCGTGGATTGTGGCACAGCATGCGGGGCGCTTTATCGGGGAGCACGGTGGCAAGTCGCTTCAGAGCCTGGCGGTCAGCAGCAAGCGGTTGGCGATCGCGTGTGTTCGCTTCCAGATGTCACTGAACCGGATCCAGCTCCTGGGGGAGGCCGGATTGGTGGGACTCTGCGTGGCCTTGTACTACCTCCGAAAGTGGCTCCTGAAACAGACATACTGGGCCCGAATGGTCGCGTGGTACAGGGCGAAAAAGAAAAACGCCATTCAGGTACGCAGACRAAGAGTATACTGTTGGAGTGGCGTTTCTTTTGGTATTGTTTTGAGAAAGACTCAAATACATAATAACAGCTTGCCGACGCATAAACTGGTATMAAAAKGTTTCGGCTTCTGACAGTAATTCTCAGTCCGCCCACTTTATTCCTTTTGCTTTGTTTTTGTACCCATTTATCAACAGTCGGTCAACCACTTTTTCGATAAGTTGGCTCGGGTCTCAAAAATTTTAGCCTTGACCATTCCGCACCTGATTTTTGTGGGCCTCAGTGTGGGCATTCGRCTCGTCTTTCCGGAGGCGGTCCGATATGCGACCTATGAGACACCACTTCTATTTAATTTGAGCGTATTTTATCCTTTCGTCAAAACCTTTCTATGGGTCCAGGCCCAGCGCCGGAAGGACAAGGAAAGCAACGGCAGTAGTACCGGTAGCAGTGACGACAAAAATGTCAATGAGATCGATGACAACAGCAAGAAAACTGGCACCAACACAAAATCTGTTGCGGAACGAACAAAACAATTCGAGGCTATCAACAAAAATGGTGAAAAAGATACTCCTGCATTCGTCACCGAAACGCAAGTTATGGCGACAACTCGGTATTGGCTCAATTATTGGCAGCTGTACGCCGTAGTTCAGGCCGTCGGCCATTGCTTCGCAATGATCCCTATCGTTGGGCGGTTCCTAATAGCCCACCCGATCTTCAGCTTCTTAACCGGGGAATGCAAACTGTTTTTCTTTCTATGGGTTTTTGTAATGGAAAAAATCCTAGGGAGCGCTACTTCCACTTCCGGCGATGCGTTCATGACCGATGCCCGCCCCCTGAAACTGGTTCAAACCTTTGTCACACCATTGGTTCTCAACTTGCACGGCGTTGTATCTAATGCCATTACTCCTGAGCTCTGGCATAAGGGGGTCGTCTCCAAAACCAAGAGGTTCCTAGATGCTGCGGTTTTCGTCCGCTTGCTGTCGGAGGAACGAAGAGATTGGCTGGTTCACATGGTGGAAGAAGCACGAGTTCTGACTCTTCCTTCGATCACGCTTTTGATGCCGGGATTTGTGACGCAAGTAGGCGTGGCATACGTCCGATACGCAGTACCCAGTGCTAAATCAGCCGAGGCCAAGTCCAAGGCGACAAAACTTGTGTACCTTCAGTACTGGGTTCTTCACTGTTGTATGGCCGGCCTGCTGGCTTATCTAGAGGGAATTATCTGGTGGATCCCTTTTTCCACCCACATGGTCTTTCTCCTGTGGTGCTATCTAATTCTCCCCAAGGCTATTCGCCATATTTATGCAATGCTAGAATCCGATTTGGTGGCCTTTGGATTGCTCCCCAAGATCGACGATCCTGCGGGTGCAAAAAAGGAGATTAGCGAGACAAGGATCGCCCGTTTTTTCGATTGGTGTCTAAGCTGGCTACCAGCTGCGGATATGTCCACTAGCGACAACAAGAAGCAGATAGACGGTGCGCGCGGGAAGGAAGACCAACCAGAAGCAGTCGCAAGCGATTCCGAGGACAGCAAACCTGAAAAAGCTAGTGAAACAGCTGAATCAGGACCATTATCACCGAAGCAAAGTACTCCCGAGGTTGATGTCGGAGAGGGGATAAAAGACAAGGATGTATGATTAAGGGACTATGCATTTCATTTTCTTTAGGTATGGGAAGAATGTGGTACTTATTACAGTAGGTTAATGCTCAATCATTAATTTGACTACAGCACACGATCGCATCCGTATCAAGGACGAACAAATCAAACTATACTTTATTTTGTCCTTTCTAGCAAACGAACAACAAAGCAAGCAAGGCCTTCAGAATTGCATAATCTGCGGGGGAATCGAATGTATTTTATAATATTAATAATATTTATGAAACAATACTATGCTGATAGAACAAGAGACTTGATGCGAGGATCAAGAAGTACTTGTTCATCAAATTCAGCCTGATTTCAGAATTTTCAAAATTTTACTTTGTGAATATCATAGATTGCAGTAACTTTTTGAATTGCTTCCTCGATCCTGTATTTCATGACAAAACAAGATTACCATGTAAGCACGGTAAGTACTGTACCATTAGTGCTTCATAATTATCGTCATATTTCTGCAGAATTTGGGTGGAATCAAAGATTCCTCGTAGTACCACTACGACCTCCTGCTGCTACTGCTGGCTGAAAGAGTACAGTTTAAAGCAAGCTACTCCTGTTTTCTTTCAGAATTCAACTGCTGCTTCACAATGTTTCAGTACTATTGCTATTCTTACAATGAGTTTGGGCAATATTAAATTTCTGTGAGCTTTATGGAACGAAATTGCTGCTCGCATTCTGTAGATTGGATTCTAAAATACGTACTGTACGGACGTAGATTACTGTTTGAGAGAAAAAATACAGTAACACTGTACTAGAAATGAGGACTGTGAAGAAATGTGGATACGAGTAGTACGTATGGTTCGTCGTACTCGTACCATTCGTCCTGGTAAATGAGACAACAACAGCTAATCCTGTTTTGACGTATGGAGTCATTTTTCTGCGCGCCATATTGAACCTACTTTGAGCATGTCAACCTAACTGCATGGTCGCGTCGGCATTGTTTAATTATCGGCGATGACTATTGTTTCAATTTTTACCAAGGAAGATTCCACAATTAGTCCTATGTATTCATTCTTTTGTCCGTTGGGTGGGAAAGATTCATTGTTTCCTAGGATCGACCTCACATTTTCTTTTTCCATCGAAATCGTTGTCAACAGCAACGGATAACCCACCTTGAGTCCGGTCATTCCGATCATACTTTGTACTTCGGATCACACTTGCAGGTCGATTGAAAACAGAACACCACATCAAAAAAGACGAACAGTCTAAGTGAACACGTGATACGCCCATTACTTGCCTCCAATCGTTGCTAGCCCATGACTCGAATTGATACTCGTAGCTACCCAACGAATGTCGAATTCAAAGAAAGACGTACCAAGAGTACGTCGTCTTGCCAAACAACTTTATCGACAAGCACTGCCTCGCCGCTGCGCGTTGACCCCGTAGATTCTCAAGAACAAGATTTTTTCAGGAGCATTCGAGAGAGAGCGAAGAAAGCGTCTTATAGCCTCGGAAGTAACACACGGGCAATGGATCCACCGGAGACAAAGAAAGACGAAACTACGGGTAATGCCGAAGCTGYCAACCGCGATGCAGCCGTTGAGGCGGAAATTCTGAAAGAAATTGCAAGGCTCGAGGCCGAGGCAGAAAAGAAGAGAAAAGCTGCCGAGCTTGCAATTGAAAATGCCAAGTCAGTCCTGAAAGAGGCAGATAGCGATGACGACAGCAAGGAAGCCAAGGCAAACAATGGCACTGTGAGTGCTATTGCGCAGATGATCGCGATTGCGGACCAGGAACTCTCTGTCGAGAATGAGGCAAAAGATGATAGAGTTAGCGGTGAGGAGAAAAGAGAAGGAAATGTGTGTGAAAAAGGAGATAGAAAACAATTGATCACCATCGTAAGTCCCCCCAGCATCAAACGGCAGTTTCCTGCTCCTGCTTCCGATGCAAACAGAATCACCAACTACTTCAAGCGAAATAATGAAGGGGAAAACAGCAGAAAAGAGGAAGGCGAGGCCAAATCGGACGAAGCAGACGAGATCGACCAGCAGGTGGAGGCATCAATCTCCATGCTCACCACCGATGACGATGCCGACAAGGGTACTTCTGGCCTCGAGGAAACCCTGGAAACACTGGAATCCAAGATCGCGGAATGCACCTACGTGCTTTCGGATCCGAATGCCAGCGTTGAAGAACAGACAGAAGCTGCGCAATTGATGGTGCAGTATGCAAGAACGGCGAAAGCCATCACGAAGGTTCTTCAGAACGAAAAATAATACGAACCATGTATGGAACCAGTGTGCCCATACGCTCTAGTTCGAAGTCTAATTTTTGTTGGAAGCAAAGCGGAAGCAACTCTTTGTAGGATCGGCCACGGAAACGGCGTTACTGCGAGGCATTTCGGACGCGSTAAAAGTGGTATTAGTATATTGTAATTGCACAATCTCTAGCTATATGGTTATAAATAATATTGTACAAGGATTGGTGTGCGCGGGCGGCGGTAACGGATGAGTCAAACTATAAAACGACCGAATGAATGAAAGGAGTCTGCCCTGCATCCGACCCGAATCCTGTAGTTTTCACGACTAGAACAGGATTTCAAGGGCCATCATCACGGCATGCATCTGGTGTTGCGCGGTATCGATTCGCAGTGGTGCTTGGTCCACGGCGTTCATGATTCCGCCAATGGCTGTGCGTTCGTCGGTGGGATTGGTGACCAAGAAGTCGTTGGTGTGGGCCAGGGGACCCCCGACCTGCCAACTAACGAATGTAGCAATAGTGTTTTGGAGGCAGCGAGGTTGGAAAACAAACGGGAAAAGGTGAGAATAGCGACCAAACACGCCGTACCATCGAAACAGTTCTTTTCGTGCGCCGAGTCGATCGGATCGGATGGCAACGCACCTCGTCAGTTCATAGAGACCCTCGTCGATAGTCCGGGACAGCTCGGAGAGGGCTTCCTCGTGGCCCCGCATCTCGGCGACCCTGTAGGCGCTCAGAATCCCCTCAAACGCGTATCCCGTGTTGCGGTGGCGTTTCAAAATCCCGTGAGTGTGGACAATCCAGTGCGCCAGGACCAAGAGGCAGTCCCCGAAATACTCGTAGTTCTCCCACTCGGCCAGGTAGTATTCCGCAAAAACCATCGAGGACCACTGGTAGAATCCCTTGGTCAGGTCCGAGTCGTGCTCGTCCTGCCTCCAGGCGTCGACCGTGTAGGCCTTGGCGAGGATGGGTGCCGTTCTCTCGATGACGGGGACTAGGTCCTCGGCGTAGTCGCCCCCGAGGTAGCGGGCGGCCTTGACCAGGCAGAGCATCGTCTCGCCGTCGTAGTACGGGGAATATTCCTCGGACGGCTCGCCCTCTTCCCGGTCGTACGCCTGGGCAAAATGGCCGTCGCCGCGCTGCAGGTATTTGAGAAAGCCGAGGATCCCGTCCAGCTCGGCCTCGAGGGCCCGGGGGTCGATCCGCATCCGTTCGGCCCACGCCGGATGCTCCCGCGCCACCGAAAGGTACTCGATGAGGGCCAAGCCGTAGAGCGCGTTGACACCCGACTGGGACTCGTCCTCGAATCCGGGATACACCACCATCCGGCTTTCCTCGATGGGCCCGTCCTCCACGTGCTCCCGGAAAAAGGCAATCCCGTCCTCGATGGAGGTTTGGTACGCGGGGGCGCGATCGTTTTCGTCTAGGATGCTCGCTTTGAGGCAGAGGGAGATTCCCCACAGGGCCCCCGCCTGGCGGACTGGGCTGTCGTCGTCGTCCAGTTCGTGGGTCACAAAGTCGTACTGGTAGTTGAAGTTTCCGGCGTCCTTTTGGTTGTGGACCATGTAGTCGCAGCCCAGCGCTAGGGACTCGGACAGGAGGGGCTCGGTCAGTTTTTTTCCCCAGACAGAAGGATCCGTGCTGTCGTCCTCGAATTCCAACCCGTTGTAATAGGACCGGATCCAATCCAGGAATTCCTCGTCGTCGATGTCGGGAAACATTTCTTCCTCCCCCTGTTCGTAGTCATCACCCGAGGCGCCATCTTTCTGCTCCTGATGGTCGTCCCAGTCCTTGTCCCGATCTTCGTCGCTCGATCTCGACCCGCTCCCGTCTGGTTCACCTGCGCCGCGGCCGTTGTCGTCGTCCCGTTCGATGCCGGCGTCGTTGGCGTTGTCGTCGTCGTTCAGCAGGCCAYGCGGGTGCTGCTGTTGCCGGAGGTGGAGGTTCGGGTCCGGGGACAGGACTGCACTGTCCTCTACGGCAATCTCTGCCGGACTCACAAAGATGTACCAGCACACCAGAAAACCGCCAACGAGACCGGGGATTCCGTAGCGCATCCAGGCCGGAACCTTTCGCTCCTTGAACGGATTGACTACTTTTCGAGGCATGTTGCTGCGAGCGAAGCAAGAAGTAGAATGCGCAAACAGTTGTGCCCGAAGGAAACGCACGAAGGGATTCGGGGCGGTGTGTGTACAACGTGGAGGAGCGCAGAGCGGGTTGCCAGCGTCCGATTGTTTTTGTTGCAATAATGCACCGTTTCGTTTTCGATGAATTTTTGTCGAGAATTAAAGGAAACAAGAAACCCGAAAAAAAAAGCTTTTTTGGATACTAAGAACCCATCCTGTGCAGTGTGTGTACCGTAGGTACGTACTCATACTCGTACAAGTACCGTACTCGTCGGATTAAAGAAAGCGCCCGTAGTGATCGTGTAAAGGAAGATGATGATCCTTCAGCTACGGTAGGTAGGGCTCTAGGATATGGTATTACGTACTACTGTACAGAAAATGATACTTTTACGACAAACGACAATACATACATACGATCATATGGATCATATGCTAGTGTCATACCGAGGTACGTACGATTCCGGATACCGTACGTACTATTACTGTACGGAACGTACCTACTGTAAGAGATCAATTTTCAATTTTAATTTCAACTGCATTTTTGTCGACCCGACGCATCTGACAACAAACGACGACACCTGTTTTTGGATGAATCTGTTCGTCCGTAAGAACGCCGTTTCCACTACGAGTGATTGATACAGGTACCGTACAATAGCAAGAGAGTCGTTACTGTAATCTCAAAACCCAAACCAAAGAGAGAGAGCGAGACCCACCCGACCTCCGGCAAGCGAATTGTCGACGCAAGCGCACGCACACGACACAGCAAACAAACCAATCGCTGTGTTAAGAAGACCGCAAGGAGTATCCTCTGCACTTGTTAGTCTACGCAATCAAGTCGAATACAAGTACTTCGTCCCGTACATCGGCTCGACGGATGATGCTCAAACACAGCTGTAAAACAATCAAGGTTCCACGAGATTGGTGTCATCCTTTCGTTCGATAGTGCGGATGCTGGTTGTCTTCAGCAAGCTAGCTAGCGGGAAACAAGAACAAAATCCTGGGCAACGCGGGGTACGAGCACTCTGGAACAAACACAAACCATGAGCGAGTTCTCCGACGTACGCAAACGCATCGCCGCCATCGAGGAGAAGCTTCGAGACGGTCCGAAGCCCGAAACGATGGAGGAACAGCAGCAACAGGGGCATGAGCATGAGCACGAGCACGAGCAGGTGCAACTTTTCAATACGGAGCTAGAGCCAGAGCCAGAACCACTAGCGAAGGACCGGATCGATGCGTCGCCAGAACCGATCGACGACGAGCAAAACCAACAGCAGCAGAAGCAGCAGCAACACGAAACAGAAAACGATACAGAACCACGAAGGAACCASAAACACGTTCCGTGGCAATTGGAGTGGAAAAACCCCAGGTGGACTTCCTCGTCGCCTTTGGGCGAGCCGCAGACCAACGAATCCGCCGACAATGGTGATGACTCCACCATCGTGGGGCTAACGACGGCGCAGTTGGCGCCGGAAGAAACCTCCTATATCCTTCGGTACAGCCAGAATTTGGAGGAAGATTCCGACAGCCACGGTCCTCGAACCGATTGTCACTATTTGCTTTCGGTAACCCTGCTGGGCTGCTGTTCGTCGGCGTCATCGACAGCCCCCGCGCTTGCCTCGGAGGTATCGATCGAGGTCCTGGAAGTTCCTTCCTCTGACAGCGAGGAAGGAGGAGCTACCGATGGTGCAACTCCAACCACGAGCGTGCTTCGCTCCAAGCAATTGCGGTGGCCCGAGAGCATTTTCGACGATGCCGGTGCGGCCACCACTTCGGTTTCTTCCCATACAGAGTTCGACAGGGGAGCTGCCAAGAAGGCGAAACCACCCAAACCAAAGAATTTCCTGGCGTCCGTGTTTTTGCCGCTCATCGGAATCGACGAGGAGGACGACCACGAGACCGCCGGTCACCCGCAGGGGCAGTGGCCACGGCCGAGTCCGACCAATGGAATCGTCTCCGCCGCGTTGTGCCGTCGTCCCCTCGACGACGGCCCGACCCAAATGGCCACGAAGGACGTCGTGGATCTGATGAGTTTCGGGGGAAGCGGGGGCATGGATCCGATCGGGGTTGCGGCGGGGGCTTCCGGCGGCGGAAACGAACGTACCGGCCTGCCCATTGAGCGGGAACGCGAGGGATCGTTAGACGAGCACGGAGCGGGTTCATCGACCGATGCCCATGGTGTACAAGCTTCGACAGGCGGCGAATTGTCGGTGGCGTGCGTTTCCAACAAAGGCGAGGTCTTTGTCTATGACCCCATCAAGCTGTTGCTCGGAGTCGAGGACGATTCTCCGCTGTCGGACTCGAGACCGAACTYGAATTCATTAGAACGGGAAGCCAAGAGGGATCTCGAAGAGGCGACCTCCTTCTTTTTCGGTCGGGAGCTCTTTCAAAACCTTCAGGAATCCTGGAAGCCACTGGCGGAACCTTCGACCCGGATCCACCTGAGTCTCTTTCAGCACGATCGGCACCAACACCGTGAAGAAAAAACTAACAAAACCAAAACCACCACCACCAACAACGACATCAGCACCACGAGTTCGCTGGGTTCCGAAGCCAAGAATTCGCGTGACGACACAACAACGGAGCATCTCTTGCACACTAACCAAGAACTTTCAGATTTGGCGGCCCAATCCGGTGTTGGTTCGKGTGCGGATAGCACCAGTGATGCTTCGTCGAGCGCCGTGTCGTCTGCTCTGGACACCGTCCGGACCCTGGCGTCGGAATGGCAATCCGGGATCGACGACAACCTATCGATGCTTCCCTATCTTTTGAATCCCCTGGTTGAGCCGGCTACGCTAAGGGACCGGACMATTTGCAACTCGCCGCTGGCCATTCGTGTTGCGGGATCTTCCTATGTGGTTGTGATCGGAAGCGGGCGGAAATACGCCAGAAAGGACGCCGAAGACGGATGCAATCGTCGCGGGTTCACCAAACGCAGGAGCAGGCACCGCAGCAACAAAAGCAGCGATTCTTGCAGCCAAACCCCATCGGTGCCACCGAGGGATCGGAGTGTTGACAACGACGATGTTTCCTTGGAAGGTGCTGCCGAACGGTCGCTCTCTCATAGCATCGAACCAAATTCTTCCGGAGCGGCGTCGAAACCAAAGGGAGGGCCAGAAACAGCAGAGCAAAGAAAAGACGCAGCGTCGCAAAGCCCAATGACAGTGGGCTATAGAGAGGACACTGATCTACCGGGAATTAGTGTCACTAACCTCCCAGATGACGGGAAAAACAAGGCTTTCGACGGGGCCGAAACCGCTACAGAGGACGCGATTGAATCATCTTCGGCGGAACAGGACGAACACAAACCATACAAACCACCTTACGAAGCAACCAATCCTTTCGCCGGAATCGACATCCATTCCGAGAAAGCAGCAAAACCCTTCGAGAGCACGAATCCCTTTTCGGAGAGTGATGAGGAAGATGCTTCGCCACCAAGAAGAATCAATCCCTTCGATGACGACGTTGGCGACGCACAAGACTTTAAAATGAGTCCGGGTCCAACTCCATCGTGGCTGGACGAATCAGAATCTTGTGACAAGGAGGGAATGTCAGCGTCAAAAGAAAGCGCAACCAACGCAAGCATACCCGAAAACCCTATGCCGTGGGAAGTTTCTTCGGAGAAGGATAGTGGTGCCGAAATTAACGTTGGTGAGACGGGATCGTCCATGTTTCGGTCGATGGTCCCGAAGCAGAATCTCAAAGAAGAAAGCAAGTTAGAAACAGAAACGAGCGATCACGGATCGCGCAAAAATGAAGATGAAAACAGCCAGCGGCATTTCTTTGATGGATACGACGAGCATCCTGGAGAGGACCAACGTCGAGAGCACGGAGGATTCATCACGTTTTTGACAACATCGCGTTGGTCGGAGACTCGTACCCTGTTTGTGCCATTTGTTCCTCTACGTGTCTCGCACATTTCCAAGTGGAATGACATGGAGTTGTTGTGGGTGATTGGTGAATTCCAATCCCTTCTCGTTCGAATGGATTCGACCGGACCTGTGCCCATCTCGATTAGAGATGATCTTATTGTYAGAAGAGGGAACGAGGAGGCCGATTTGTTGCAGGCAGCGACCGGCAGCAATCTCACTGAATTGGCCGGTGATTTCGAATTTGAAAACGAATTGTTGCCCGTGTCAATAAAAAAGTTTCAGATTTTGCCGGTTGATCAAGCTGTGACTAGTTCTATTCCACCGCGTCTGCTTTGTGCCTCAAGCACTGGCATCAATCCTCCGTGTATCTTGGAGCTCTACACCGATCCGGGCAGCCATTCCGATCCACTGAATTCCTTCCGGGACGGATCGGAGGCTTTTCAACAGCCTTTGCATCGATCTCATCACAATCAACCCGCATTAGTATTGCTCAAGACTCTTGGCTACTTCACACCTCGGGGGACGGYTGTATTGCGCCATGCACCATCACATGTTGCGAAAATCACAATCAGTCAGAGCGAAATGGCTTCGAATGGGGATATGTCTTGCGTTGGAGATCCAATTATTGACGAGGCATCCATATGGGCTGAACAGGGCCAAGGGTGGTCGCTCCTTGGAACAAACCGATGCAAATATTTTATTTGCTGGGAAGGGTCCACTCTTTTACAAGGGGCATATGTAAATGAATTCAACAATTGCATGGATCTATCAGCGGCCAAAAATATATCCTCTGCGGACATTCTGCCTTTTTCTCTAACTCCGAAAGTTAGGGTGCAAGATGTAGCATCTTCATATTTCATAAATGGAAACGACGAGCAAGAGCAAGCGTTTAAGAATCCTCAACGATTTTCATCGACCGCATGTCAGATGCAGGTGATCGACGAATTCCAACTATATCAATCAAACGAAGCCGTAGGTGGACCAATAGATAGAGCGTTCTTCTCCATGAAAGGGAGCATTGGCAGAACGAAACAATTAAGAAGAAGCACAATCTCATCGAGGCGGCAACACAGCGAACATCTTTTACAGCAATGTTCGAGTTGGACTCAACTTGAAGAAACATTGGACGATCGAATAAGGCTTGAAAGACAAGGTATGTACCAGAACGATTGCCATGCACTATCTTTCTAGTTATGCTCTCTTCTAACATTTATACCCTTATGCTTCCGATAATCCTTCTACAGCACCAGTTCTATGTCTCCGGAGAGGTACAGCAGGGTCTCCACATAACGTGCTTTCGCTCCGTCAACTTGTTGTTGATAATGGTACATCGTCCCCCTTTCAGCAAGTTCTCTCTTGGTTGGCGAAGAGAAAGAATTTCTTTGTAGCAGCAGGAATCGCGCTGGATTTGTTACAAAGTGCAGATTCTCTGTATCACTTATGGAAACATGCAGAAATGATTAATGAAGAGGACGAAGAGACGAAGCTGCTCGGTCTTTTAGATGGGATTTCCTCCGTTCGTTTACTGGACGACAACTATAAAAATACCAATGAATGCAAGCATAGCGTCACCGCGACCCATTTATCGGAAATGACTGTGGGGTGCTTCATCAAAGGTGGAGTTTCTATGGCTAACACACTTGTTCAATTTCTTGAAACGAATAAATTGTACGATCCTGCCCGGGTCTCATTGATGCTATCTCTTACTACGATCAATTTGTTTTCAAACGATTCTACGACCACCAGATTTAGCGATTCAAACCAAAAAGAATTCAATTTCGATGAATTGTTGTGGCCTGTAGAATGCCTTCTAGCAATAGGCACGGARCGAGAATATCTCCACGAGGTGCTGTCGCTATTGAACGATACAATTCCCGATGAACTCCGTCATCGCCAACGTGAAGAACAAGAAGAAGGAAAGGAGCAGATTGTCTGGACACCGAACATGGCGCTGACCAAAAAGTTAATCAAAATGATGCTAGAGGCAGATCCCGTTGCCATTGATATTTTGATGAGTTTCGTTGACGATCAATCTCAAGTTCATTTCTGGCAATCGCTAGACCACAATACTCGCTTGGCCTTGTCATTGATGGAAATAGAATCATCTTTCCCGTTTTTGAGACAACCCGAAGTTAGAAGTTGGGCACGTGAAGAACTCGATTTGTCCTTAAGAAACAAATCGAATCTTCCAACAATCTGGCTCCAAGAACTTACTCTGGCGTGTTTGCGCAACGCCCACTGTGATCTAGATGGTCTTAAGATTTCAAGGAGTACTGACGAAGACAAAGCTTTAATGTCATCTTCAGATACCATCAGCGAAAGAACACGCGTGAACGATAATCTCTGTTCCAAATTGGCGACCTCGGATACCGAAGAGACTTCTGGCTCGAGCCGTACTGATGATTTTGTCGAAACAATGAATTTTGAAATCGAGAGGATAAGAAATTCTTTGCTTGCCTCGAATGAGGCAATGTGCAGTCTCGATTTTGATTTAGTGATACCAACACTACTTTCGTTAGAGAATCATGGGTTCCACTGGCTACCATCAACCTCAACAGCAATTTTAGAAACTCCGTCATCGAAACTAGAATCCTCCACGTGCACCACTGTGATGAACAAAGATATATTTACTTCCACACAGGCCCTCATGAATGCCGCTTGTTATCTTGCAGGACGAGCCTCGGTGTCTGGAAGTAGGGCGGCCTGGACTTCGCATGTGGATTCGGTTGATCTCAATTCTGGCAACGAACCGTTTTTATTTGCAGCATTCGATAGCAAGTCCGCGATGAAGCAATGCTTCATTGCAAATAACATAGTTGCTGGTGCCTACTTGGTGGGCGGAACCAACGGTTTCATTCTTCATATCTGTGATGTCCTGAACCGGAGAACCGGAATATCCATTCCCGATGCAGAATCCTACCTTGTCAGTGATCGATTAGACTTGCAGCTTCTTGAGGAGTCTAGAATAGACGACATCGCTGACAAAAAGCCTTCATCGTGTTTTGAAGTGACGAGCGGGCACCAGAAATTGCTGATGCTGCTAGACGAGCACGTGTTGAGAATCCGAACCTTTGGAGACTTCGATTTTGCTCACAATCGCGGCAACGTGGATCCTGTTTTTGCTGCTCGTTCCATTCTTCGAGCGTGGCTCTTGATGAGCGTTGGGGAAAAGGCTGCTGCATCGAATTGGTTAGGTGAATGGCTCGGTGACCGCCTTGGTATTCGCTGCGACCGATGCCGTGTTCCATCGCCTCTGGTATCTCCAAAGGCTTCCACCCCGCGTTCAAAAATTAGTGCGAATGGTTCTGCATTCGAGGATGCTGATACTTTTACTTCGAATCGAGATGATCGGGGCAAACACTCTGATGCTGCCAACCAAGACCGTTACGAAGAATTTGGGTCTGCCAGCCAACATGGGTTTGCTTGCGCATCTCTTGCGAGATCATTGCTTTGGCCAAACGACTTGCCTACAACGGCAATGTCGAAGCAAAAGGATGGTGGTCCTCCCACGAACGGGGCCGATGCATTGCCACTAGCTGATGCTATGCAGTTTGAAACAAAACTGCTCCTAGAGCTTTGTCAATCCTGTTTGGGATTAGTCGAGTCGGTTCCACCCTCTATGGTAGAAATGTAGAAGTAAATCTAGTTGGAGTATTAAGTACTGAAACGTATTTCACTGCATTACGTTCAGAGTGAAATATTGTTTTTTATTGTAATGGTCATCTTCGTACTAGTTCCTACAGTACGGAAGGGAATGTCCAGGGTTGAAGTAAGCTGTAAACTCAATCTCTTGATCTTCAGTCTTCAGGTCGTTTTTTCTGCCACTGACCAGATGCACTTCTATGATATTCTGATTTTTGCCAAAGTATTCCATGGATTGTTCGAGTAGTAATAGCACTACAAGTAGAAGTAAGTTCCTAACAGAACTTACAGAAACACGAGGTTATTAGTTCGTATCCTATCGTACAGTGTGGCCTGATAGTACGTACGTACTTCTACTACGTACCTCACCAGAAAATCAATTTGGCGGTCTGCGCTGTGAAATGTTTTGGCAAGCGGATGACGGACAGACTATACTTTGCTATCCTTTATGTATTGTATGTACTAAAGTTCCCATMGTACGGTACGGTACAAACTTTAATTTTGAGTACGAGTGAGGAASACTACACCCAGGAGCTATCTTTTCGGGAGTTGCCCCCCCGCCCGTTGCCATACCGTACAGTACGACTACTTGGTACCCGTACATACATTAGTATTGTATCGTACTGTTATTTGCTGTTGTACGAAGTACTGGGCTTCCACTAGTTTTTTCCAATACACTAGAAACGGCATCATCATCACCCTGATGACATCAATTCATGGAACAGTCCAACCCACAATTCAATCCAACTACCTCATCGCAGATTGCTTAGGGTCTTTGTCGCATCTTTGCATTTCTTTGTACCTCGCACCTAAACCTACTTCTCGCACAGTAAGAAAAGCGAGAAGGAGAAAGATACAACGCCATGTTTGCCTTGCGACGAACAACGATATCAGCAACCGTTGGTAGTACTGGCAGAAAGTCTTCGTTGTCATCCCTCGTTTCGGTGACCGCTCCGGATGAAACCAGGAGTGAGCAATATGAGGATAGAAAGAATGTGTTCCWAACCCTTTTCACGACCCGTTCGTTTTTTGCGGTGCCATCACCACCGCAGTCCTCCGTCGACGTTCTGTCCATCGCGACAGCCACTGCGGCCAACCAATGGTCCTACTGTTGGAAGAGCAACTTCAGTTCAACAACAGCCCCGGCCTTTTCTCTTCTTGACCAACTTCAACAACCAATGCTGTTGGAGACACTATACAGAAAAGGAATCTACCTCATTAGTACCCTGAAGCGGAGGCGAAAGATGATGAACAAACACAAGCTTCGAAAGCGTCGCAAAAAGAATCGAATGAAAAACAAGAAATAGATAATATAGCCTGAATGAAAATAGACTGAAACCCATGCAACACGTGCTATTTTTACTGCAGCAAGGATTCCAAAGAGTCTATTGCTTATCAACGAGTCTAGGAAAAGGGAAGAAGTACACAAAACAATAGGACTTTGTCTCTGATGAGTACATGGGCACTATCCATGCGAATGCACCCATAGACTAGGACCCTCTAGTGCGAACAAGAAGCAGCTTTCAGAACACTAAAGAGCTAGAAAAAGCTAGATCGAGCTCTCCCTTCGATTGTACGACCCGCTCTATCATAAATAGAGAAAATAAACTTTTATATTGTGCTTTACAGTATAAACTGGTATCTCCTTTAAAATGATTCTTTTATCGATGACTTGTCTTCGATTCCCTTTGTCCCCACGTTTCTTGGCCCAGTTTTATGTGTGTGTGTAGTGTTGCTATGTCGCCTAAGCGTGTTTCGCAAAAGATGCGACGAACGTTACTGGCTTGTTGGCGGTGCCGTGAGACTCACACCAACGGCGTGCCCCCTGACGCTGCTGTTACCAAAATGAAAAGTTGGGCTCTGAACTGGCATCTTTGTTGGTATTTTGGAAGGCCTCCGCCGGCGAGACATTTGGACGTCTTTATCGCTTTTGCCATTACTCATCTGTCCACTCGTCTGCTTGTTATTGTTTCCATTGCCCATCTGTCCACTCGTTTGCTTCTCGTTGTTCCCATTGCCCATCTGCACATTCATTTGATTGTTGGTGTTGCCGTTGTTCATCTGCCCGTTCATTTGGTTATTGCTGTTACCGTTGTTCATCTGTCTGTTCGTTTGGTTTTTGGTGTTCCCATTGTTCATCTGCCCGTTCATTTGGTTATTGGTGTTACGGTTGTTCATCTGCCCGTTCATTTGGTTATTGGTGTTACCGTTGTTCATCTGTCTGTTCGTTTGGTTTTTGGTGTTCCCATTGTTCATCTGCCCGTTCATTTGATTACTGTTGTTCCCATTGTTCATATGTCCGTTCGTTTGGTGATTGCCATGTCGATGAATTGCAGGTCTATTCATTTGGTTATTCTTCTTACCGGTGCTCATATGTCCGTTCATTTGATTGCCATTTTTGCTGCTGCTGTTGTTGCTGCCGCCCCTCTTGCCACTGCTGATGTTGCTGCCGCCGCCGTTGTTGTTGTTGTTGTTGTTGCTGCTGCTGCTGCTGCCGTTGTTGCTGCCGCCGTCGTTGTTGCTACTACTATTGCTAGTGTTGTTGTTGTCTTTGTCATTCTGACTGTTTATTTGATTACTGTTGTTGTCATTCTCGATTTCAGCATTCTCGATTTCAGTAGTCGTCGAAGTGGAAGAAGACGTTCCAGCCTCTGTTGGGCTTTGCGTTGGGTTTCTTGTAGGATTTTTTGTCGGATTCCTCGTTGGATTCCTTCTCTTTCGGGTTGGTCTCTGAGTCGGACGTTGGGTGGGTGATCCGATGGGCGAGTCATTATCTGGATCTGTCGAAACCCATGATGACGTAGACGAGAAACTAGATGTCAAAAACGCTGTTGGACTTTGCGTAGGCGAGTCGTCCTTGTTTTCCTTGCTCCTCTTATCCTTATCAACCTTGTCCTCTTTGTCACTCTTATCAT